CCGTAATTTCGGGTATAGCACGCGTAAATATACATCATCTAGTAGCGACGACGTAACCCCCAGCCGGTTCTGGAAACATTCTATAACGGAAACAGCGTAAAATCACTCGATGTGTACGTACACACGTACACGTGTACACGTATCGCGTATATGCGCGTGCGGAAACAGCGGTATGCCGCGATGGTTGACCCGACTAACGAAAAAAAAAAAGAGAGAGAGAGGGAGAAAAAGAGAAATAAAGAGAGAGAGAGGGGGAGAGAGGAGGTGGGTGGGAAAAAAAAAAGATTTTTCAGCTTTGCAGCCCGATATTAAAGGCCGCTTTTAGCAGAAGTAATGAATTTTAACGGTAGATGAGCCCCCATGGCTGTTCGGCTGTACGCTGCCGCATACCCGACGTAAGAAATTGCTCCCGCGAAATTATTTCCTTTATAAATCAGCGGCCATACGTTTCGACGTCATCCCATCTTACTTCGCATACCATTCTCCACCCTCCGCTACTACCGCCTCTTTCGCCTTCTTCTTCTCCTCCTCCTCCTCCTTCACTCCTCCACCCTTCTTTGTGTACCTATATACACGAGTACGAAATGGGATGTCTCCATCCCATCCGCCGAACGGAGTCAAGAGAAATGGTCAAGGTTTATTAACAATAATACGTTATCGGTTGAGAAATTGCAACGTTGTTTCGCGAAGAATTGCACCGGATACCCATGTACGCGATGGTAATCCGCAAAAAGGAAGAAGAAGAAGAAGAAGAAGAAGAAGAAGAGGGAAAAGTATTACGACTGCTTTATCGTGACTGGGAAATTTAGTTTTTCGTCTCGTTGCGGAATCCGGGACGTTTGGCAAGTGAGACGTTACAAACTCTGTCGAGACGTTTGTCTCTCGCTGAACGCGTTACTTTTCGAGGTATTGATAATAAAGCCAATATTTCTTAATTTCTGAAGAAGAGATAAAGCATCCGTGGAATAATAAGCGCAAAATTTCCACCGTTCGTTCCCTCTGTTCCAAAATGAAACATCGAAGAGGATTTCACCGTATGACTATACTAGCGCGAACAGATAACAGATAAGAAATATTATAATATATACCTATCATCGGATAGGAGTGGTTGCCTTCGAGGCGTAAGAAGTTCAGAATGGAATAAAAGACGGTGATCGTTTGACGTCTCTGTAAGAGAATATTCGTAAGCCATGACGATGACCTTTCATCGAGTGAACCATCATCATCGTGGAGGTGAATCTTTTCGAGAGCAGAGGACACGGAGGGACACGGGCGTCCGGTATGAGGCTTGATTTGGTACCAGAATAGCGATGGTGGGGATGTAGTAATTTGTCGGCTTGGGAAGGCGGCTGGCTCCAAGCTGATAACAGGGGGTGGTCCATTCTCCTCTGATTCCGCCACCCTCCGTTTCTCCCCGCCCTCCCATTCCTCCACCTTCTCCTCTACCTCTCACCTCTCTGCAACCCCCCTCCGACGCGACCCCTCCGCGTCTGTTCCACTTGCGAGTATGCCAACCCATGGATCCGCGTAAGACGTCCGGTCCGCTCGCTACGTCTCGGATGTGTACGGGAGGAGAAAGACGACAATATCGGGGGCGAGGAGCCGGGGGATTTTCCATAATCGAGCGGCCGTCTACGGTCGGCTAGCGCCAACTTTCTAGCCTCTATGATCTTACCTAGCTTTTCTCCCCCTTCCCCTCCCCCCTCGCGGACGTCGGGCCGCGATAAAAGTAATTCCTACCCTCTGATCCCGTAATAATGTCGCGGCTCGCCGATACTACGAGTCGATTAGCGGCGAAGGTGGTCGTGCGAAGGTGGAGGAGGAAATGGGGAAGGGAGGGGAAAGCGAAGAGGGGGAGCGCGCGAGAACGAACGGAGAAACGTAATTCGACGTTGTAATTCGATGGAAACGATTGGAACGGGGCGAAGCTTGCCACGAGGAATAACGGGAAGGGGTGTGTAAACGGGGCGAAATAAATCGAAGTTGCGGGCGCGCTGTACGCCTTCTATTCAAGGCTTCTTGCGCGCACGGCCCGGAATTATTTCGATCGGGACAAACGGAGCGTGTAACAAGAGTAACCTTAATTCCGGAGGAATCCACTTCGGTGGAGTTGAAATTCTTGAGCTGGCTGATTGGCGAACAAAGTTACCTTTCTAATCTCGTTTCGAAACCTGAGTGGGCGGGGGGAGGGAGAGGGGNGAGGACCGACCGTTCCCCGAATTTATTCCGCCACACACTATGCAAACCCGCAATCGTCTCGATCGTTTCGACATTACCGTACCGGAAATTTCTAATTACCATGGGTTTCCGCCACGACGAATTCGCGACCAGTCGAGTCGCGTTTAAATGCTATTTCTTTTTTCTATTTTTTTATTCCCGATGAATTGATTTTCTCTCGATCGATCGAGGAATTCCTTTTCTTCCTCGAGGAAAAGATGCGTTCGTAAATTTACCGATCTTCTCAACCGATCTTGTCCCGTTTGAACTACCTCTCGCCTTTTGAAGCGAAAGTAGCAGCGAAGACTCCCCGCTTAGAGTTCCCTAATAGAGCGACCCGATGACGAGTTTCCTTACTTTTAAAATTCCAAGGCGCCGGACAAGAGGGTATACGAGCAACAGAGGCTCGATGTAAAATTTCATAAGAGCACCGGGAAGAGGCAGTTTGAAGGAGGTACGGACCGCTTAACACCGACGAGGGTTACGCGGCTCTAAGAGTTAGTATCTTTAATATGTCTGACGTATGCAGCAGTTAAATTAAAGCTCACCGAGAGCCCCGAAACCTCTCACCTTGTTTCAGCCCTTGCACGTTAACTCGGAGCCCCCACGGTAATATCGCACATACCAAAACCTCTGTGTTTCCTCTACTTTCCCGTTGTTTTATACGAGAACTACTTCAACCGTGCTTTCAACCACAACAAATTCTTTTTTTTTCTTTTTTCTTTTTTTTTTTTTCCTCTCTTCTCTTCCTCTCCCACGTTTTTTCTTCGATAACAGTCCGACCGACCGCGATAAACTATAATTAAAAAGATGTTGTCCGCCTTTGAGTCGAGGCCTAATTAAAAGGTAGCTCGGTTTACCGGCTTTGTGCGTTTCGACTTTTTCGTTTTTATTTATTCCGAATCGAAGATTAGGGAGGAAGTCGGGGCGGAAAAGAGTAGAGGAGGTTGCGATCACAAAGTTCCAACTAACTCGCCTCCCCTTTCCTCCATCTTTCCAGTGTTCGGTTATACAAGGCTTGGCGTGAAACGAATGTCATTTTACAGAGAGCACGGAGGAGTCTCAACCCCTCGCTATCGTTGTCATCGGGTTCACGAAACTAACTTTGCCCACGTCACCGCTTTCTCGTTGTCGGAACAACGCGCACACATCCCGCTTGATACCCGATGCTGCTTAGACATTCGCTACTCAAATATTCCTAGGATCCCTGGTTTGTGTGTTTGGTCTGTGTGTGCGAGTATTCACATGGACGAGCCCGAGGACGCCGCTAATACACGCGTTTATGTGCCTACACACGGCCGGGTACGAGCTTAAGCCGCATTCTCACCGCGCATCGGTGTGAATTTCACTCATAAGTAAAAAATTTACCACCGATCGGTTGAGCATCGGTTGCCGATTTTATCAGATAATTAATAAAACCGCCCCAATATTGATAGGATTCGAGTATATTAATTTAATAATCGTTTAATTATCCCGCATCGCATACACGATATTATTAATTAATTATAGACCGTATGGTAATAATATTTTACCCGCGTATGTAATATTTTCAATATTAACGTTGAATCGTGTTTTCGTATATATTCGTATTCCTATTTCCTTCGCCACTTTAAATATCCATTTTTCATCGAACGTCTCTTTAAAAATCAAATCGAATTCAAACAACATCAAATCGAATAACTCGACTCTTATGAACGCAAGATCGAACTCAAGTTTCGAACAATTTCATCGATGGTAAAGTTCCCCCATCAGGCCCTCCCTATAAAATAAAATTTATTTGTTCTTTTCTATCTTTTTTTCTTTCGTTCTTGTCGTTTATATTTTTATCTCATTGCCACGATACTAATCACGAGACGAGAATCGAATCGAAATTCGCGATACCGTCGAAGAAGAGCGATAGTCCGTTCGATTTGGCGCGTGCTAATGGCCTCCTTGCGGTCGAAGGGAAGTTTTAGCGTGAACACGGCATTAGTGCGCGGAGACTCGTATCGGATCTCGTACAGAAGGCACACAGATGGGAACGCGCACGCCGATACATCGGCATAACGCATTCTCCTGACTGCCAACCACCTCCTGCGGGTACAGAGAGCTTTTTAGCAAACTGTCAAACTCTGCCGAACCACGAATTACTCATTCCAGCACGTATCCGGATGTAGTCCCGCAGTGCGCGCACTATTCTGGATCAAAGACCTGGGGATATACCCGGGGACGAAAATTTGGAAATATCGATCTTGGTCAGCGACACGTTCGAGAATTGCCGAACCGCGCGGATGAACGAGTGAATGGAGAAGATTGATTGACCGATAGATGAGACTGGGTTAGAATACCGATCGCGGGCCAATTTGCGTCCCAACTCGTGTTGGAATACGTTTGATTACTTAGTCTTTGGGATGGCGATTGAGAACTTGTATCTTTTCTTTCAAAAAAATTTTTCTTAAAAACAGAATTTAATAATTATCTATTCTATCTCGCGATACTATATATTTTATATCATTAATATAATCTAGTTAATTGAAATTGCCTATAGCGAAAGAAATTGATCACACAATAATATAAATTAAAAAATAATAAAAAAAAAATAAATTAAAAATAAAGAAAAAAGAAACAAAACTAACGAAAAAATATTAAATCTACTTGTAGATAGTGATAAAGAACGAAGAATTAGGTCTCATTTTATTTTCAAACAACTTGCTTTCACACTCAATAAAGAAACTATTGCTAAATACATATATTATATCCATAATCATGCAGAAATGTCATATATTGTCGTGAAACGTACTTACCATTCTGGACGTATGTTTCTGGATGATTCCAAAATGTTGCTATTCCAACGATTTTGAAACTATGATAACTCTGACATTTCCATTTACACAAAATGGAAAACAGTGCATATAAGATACACACACACACACACACACACACACACACACACACACACACACACACACACATATATATATATATATAGATCATATGAAATAAATTGTTTTCGAGAAACTTCATCCAGAAATTCTTAATAAATCTTAATAAATAATGCAGATGTATCACTTTTCGTTGTATGTTGTACATTTATATGTACAAAGAAGAAAAGAAATTGAATATATTCGATAATATATTAACAAGAAACTATGATAAATTTTAAAAAGAGAATTCCTCACACACTTTATTTAATACTATCATATATTTTGCTTGAAATGAACACTGCACACGCGTAAAATAATGAAATAATAGAGAGCAATCTTGATAATAATGAAGTATATCACAAAAATTATTATAGAACGATAAATAACTGTTTTTCGGCGCCATTATTCCGTTAGACAAAAATTGCGATAGTGGCGACACTCTACGATGAATCACGAAAACTTAATCGATATTAACAAATTATAAATTAATAATCGATAATTAAATAATCGATATTATAAATTATTATATTATATCAGATTATAAAATTAATAAAATATTTGTAGAATATTAAAAATTTTAACATTTATTTCATATTTAAACATTTCATTTTTAAATATGAAATCTGAAATTTTGCTATCGGTACATCCATCTTCATTGCATGATATTATTCGCTGAGCTAATTTATTAAATGAAAAAAGTTCATAGATTAAATCACAGACTAAATAATAATAATCTTAAATAATTGATTATTCTACAGATTTTTATTGTTTTAAAATGTGTGTCTATTTAATTTGCTATGATATTTATAATTCCCACCAGAATAAACGTTCAAATTCCCATCCAATGAATGCAGATTCTGCATTCTGTTGGTAATGATGCTAGTGATACAGAAAAATGAAAATAGAATGAAAAAAAGAACCTTAAAAATTTATACAAAAATACATTGTATAATTGGTCTATTCTCCCTTATTATCTATTCTATATTTCAAATTGTAAAACAAAAAAAAGCATTTTATATTACGTGTATCGTTTATGAACATATTAATCTTATCTTTTGCGCGATCGGTATTTCAGATTTTTTTTTCTCAGAACTTTTCATTGTTTGTAGAACACAGATGAAAAAAAATTTTATAAGATTTAAGATTTATATTGTATTATAAAATTATATATTTCATTTATGATTAATACTGCTTAAATATCATGTCGATAAAGTAGATATAATAAATCAAATGTTTAATACTAGTATTATTGTTATAATAATACTTATATAAATTACTCTAAATTCTGTTTTCTAATTGCATAAATGAAATAAATGCTACTTTATATATATTTTAGTACATTTTATCAATAAATTATATACATATTTATTATATATATATATTTAAATTCTATTTATCTTATCCTTAGGTAAGAAAAAAATAATAATTTTTATTGGAAAAAAAAATAATTGTAATAATATATAATAATAAGTCAATAATATGAATTGCAAACTCGATATTAACTTTTTTATATTATTGTATTTTTTTATAAATTGTTAATTATTTTTCGAACATTCTTAAAGGATCGCTTTCAGAGAAACATGTACAAAACATATACAAAAATATTAAAACTTATTTATTACATTATAAATATTTGTATTATTTATATTGAGACCGTTTTGTCTTTATTACAGTATTGCACTTTTCGCACTTGTTCTATCTAATACAAATTTAACTTACTTGTAATTTAATAAATAACTATTATGTATATTAATTTTTACTTTTCTTTTTTTTTTTTTTTTTTACATCTAGAATCGAATTCTTAAAAGTGTCTCACAAATATTAACATATTGTCTATAAAGAATTTCATACTATATATTCAAGAATTTTATATATTATATAGGAATGAAATTAAAAAAAGAACTAATGTTTTATTTTTAATTAATATAAAATAGTGATAATATAAAATTTTGACAAATAATATTCTGAAAAATAATAATATTATAATATTCATGTTATTTCATGTACTTATTATATTATATAACTGTAACATATAAAATGCGAATATTATATTTATTCAAAATTATATCATATAATTTCTAAAATTTTTTATTTTCTTATTTAAGATATCATTTATAATGTTTTTAAGAAATAAAATTTCTAGGAACATTTGATTGTACAACTTTAGTAAAATTCATTTTAACATTGAATATAGATCCGATAAGGAGGTACCTCGCTTCTCATGATATGACCTCTACTCTTTTATATATGAAGATGAAAGCTTTAATCAGTAATACATTGTCAACTTTACTGAAATCGCAGAATTTTGTTTTATGTATAATTAACTTTGTGAACGATATTAATTTATATTTTCAAATTATTAAATTGAAGCATTATCTGATTATTATTTGTTCAATTGTGAAAGATGCAGATATTTTAAAACGTACATCTATATGTTGAATATTCTTCTATACGTATATATTTATAAAAATTTAAGATCATTTTGTTTTGATGTATGATTCAAATAAACTTAACACGTCACGCATAAATTTAAAGAAATTTTTTACTTTTTATTCTTAAATAATCATGTTTACAAATAATAAAATTGTTCATGTATCAATTTTAGAAATAATTAAATTACATCTTCTCTCTTTTATATATGGATTGTATTTAATAGTGAAAAGATTTCTTAAATGGATCTGGGATCCTAAAAAGTTTTTCATGATGCAACAGCGAGATAAACCCCCACCTTGTTTGATAGATAATAACTTAGGAATTCATTCTTATATAAAAATCAAGGTACGTATATAAAATAATTTAATAATATAATGCAATTTCAAATTTAAAAGTATTTAAAAAATATACAATAATCATTAATTTCTAATAATTTTTAGGAATCTATTAATAAAATATAATCTGATATACACATTAAATTTCGATCGTGATTATAAAATCTTTTTAATAAATATATTAATAAAATATAATCTAATACATTAGATTTCGATTATGATTATGATATCTTTTTAATAAATATTGAAAAAAATTATATTAATTTTTTTTTAAATTTGAAGAAAAATTCAATTTGTATCGTTTTTATTATCATTTAATATCACTAATGTTTTATTATTCACATTTATTGATATAAATTTAAAATTCACTCAAAAAATATTAAAAGAAAAAATTAAAAAATTACAAATAACAAAACTTTAAATGAAATAAATTTATTTTTAATTTAATAATATTTAAAATATTATTATATAATCAACAAAACGATAAAATAATAAAATAATACAAAAAGAATTTTTTATAATTTAACAAATTTTATATTTTTTATATAGAATGTAAAATTTCATTATGTAGAAGCTGGAAATAAAAATGAATCACTTATATTACTTTTACATGGATTTCCTGATTGTTGGTTATCTTGGAGAAAACAAATACCATGTCTTGCTAAATATTATAGGTATAATTTATATTTTTCTATTATATTTTTTCTATTATATTTTTTTTATAATTTTAATAAAATTATAAAATTATTTTTATATAAATTTCTTTTTTTTTTTATTTATTCAGAGTAATTGCAATAGATTTAAAAGGATTTGGAGATAGTGATAAACCAGCAGCTAAAAGTTGTTATAAAATTCAAGTCTTAATTGAAGAATTAAAACAAATTATTTTAACTTTTGGAGTAAAACAGTGTAGCATAATTGGCCATGATTTAGGAGGACTTTTAGGATGGTATATAGTAGCTTTATATGGAAATATGATTGATAAATTTATTGCAGTTTCATGTCCACATCCTAATTTCTATTGGAACAGAAGATTAGGAGATTCTATCTTTGATTTGAAGTAAATCTATTAAATGCTTAAATTTTTTAGAAAATAATATATATATGATAAATATATTTATTTATTTATATTATTTATATTATTATTTAGATGGATACATTTTAGTAGATTACCATTTTTTCCTGAGATTGATGCTCTTAAAGAAGATTTATCAATTATAAATGATGCATTTCAACATCTTCAATTAAATAATACAAATACTGAGAAAGATTATGTAGAAGCATACAAATATGCATTTAGTAGAAAAGGTAAATAAATATTAAAAGTTTGATAATAATCTATTATATATATATAATTTAATATAATATTTATACATAAAAGATAAAATTAAAATAATTAATTACAGAGGATTGGACTGGAGCTATTAATTATTACAGAAATCTTCCTTTTATAAAGCTTAATATAGATGCTTGTGATCAAATTTCTACTCAAACTTTACTTATAATTGGAAATATAGATCCAATTGTAACAATAGAAAATATTGTACAAAGTTCTGAATATATTGAAAAATGTAATGTAAAAGTAATATCAGGAGCTCAACATTTTCCACATCAACAAAAGCCAGATATAGTAAATGAAGCAATTTTAAAATTTTTTATGGGTATGAAGCAATTTAATAAATATTTATATATACTTCATTATATAACAACTAGATGTATTTTAGGAACAACAAATCATATAGAAAAAACATCATCTAAGAATATTATGTCTTCATGGCTTGAACCTTTTAATAAAACTGTCAAGTATGGTAATCATATGTTTGATGCTGTCCATAAAAAAACTAATGATGTAGTTAGTGTTTTACCAAGTAAAATACTTTATTTAGGTCAAACTACAAATTAAATTATATTTTTTTTATTTTCATCAAAATATAAAACCCACAAAAATTTCAGATTTTTTCTTCCTTTTTATTTATGCTTTTCAAAAAGATAATATTTAATTATTTTTCATTAAAACAAATCTAATCTTGAAAAGAAAAATTTAATTAATAAAATATTTATGTAATTTGATTACAATATTCTAATAAACGAATTTTATTTTAATGAAAGACTTTACCTTTTTGTACTAAATGCATTAATTTTAAATGTAAAAAAGACTGACTTATTATTAGTTATGTCTCATATCAATATCTAATATTATTTTTACATATATACAATTTATAAACAAAAATTTTAGAAAAAATTTACTATTTTTTTAATAAATAAATTATTTTTAATAATAAATAAATATATATATTGTTTATTTAATACAAAAATATATAAATTTTAAAAATAGTGTTAAATAGAATAAGGATCTCTCTTTCTATAAAATAAAGCAAATATCATATTATAAAATTACAATTGTAAAATTACAATTTACAATTTGTAAAAGTTAATATAAAAAAATAAAACATATATTTACATTCATACAATTTTTTAGTTTTTATTATTTTAATAAAAATTTTGTTAATAATATTTATTATATTAATGTACAATATTATATATTTATATTTATTGAATTAATGCAAAAATGTAAAAATAAATTAAATAATAAGTTATATAAAAATATATATTTATTACTTCATTATAAACATATTATTTTTCAAATATTAAATTTGTTATTATTTAAAATATAATCTTTTAAATTTACTATTATATTAAAGCAATTAAATGATTTCAATATTTTATATACATATGTATCAAAAAATTTTTATTTTACATATATCAATTACACAGGATTTGTTTCGTTATTCTATTGCTTTTCTTATGAGTTTTAAATAAATATTATTTTATTGCATTTTTTCCACTTCGTTTTCTATAAAGATCGATAATCATATTAAGTTATTTCAAAAAATAGAGGAATAAGATAATAATTAAAATCATATTACTTTATACTAACTTTCCAAAATTTTCACTATCTTCAATAGTTTCTGGTAATTCACAGTTCATTGTTTCTGGTAAAAAGAAACATAAAAAAGCACCAAATAATAGTCCACTTCCAAATATTAATGGTGGTAACCAAGATTTAATTTTTCCCTGAAAATATGTAATTCGCAATATAAGATTATTATATTATACACATAAATTATAAATTATAAATATGTAAATACAAATGTATTAGACGAAAAAATATAACCATTGTAGCGATATATGGTGCAATCATGCTTCCAGTCCTTGCACAAACACTTCCTAGACCAATACCAATATTTCTGATTACAGTTGGAAATACTTCACTACTATATAGGTATACAGTTGGAAAACTGAGTGACATTCCCGCAAGACCTAATATAGTTAAAATTATCGTAAAACGTGAATTTGACATTATAATTAACAAAAGCAAACTTGCAGCAGATAGAAGATTTGCACATATTAAAATTTTTAAACGTGATACACGTGATATTAAAAATAAAACTAATATAGTTCCAGGTAATTCAATAGCAGCTGAAAATAATATATTAAATTTTAAATACATATTCTCTCTTTTTTAAATAAAAATGCATATTGTATAAATTTACCTGATACAGCAACATTTATAAAAATATTACCATCAATATAACCCATATATTGTGTTAATCCAAAGAAACAACTACCACATATAAACCAATTAATACATATAAAAATAGTTTTTAATCTTAAATTTGGAGTTCTAAATAAATGTGTAATATTATATTTTTTTTCATTTTGTTTATGATAAATTCCTATATTACATTCATATGTTTCAATTGCTGTTTTAACATTCTCTATTGGTATTTTATTTCTACCAGCTGCTTTAATTAAAATTTGTTCTGCTTTTGATAACTTCCCAACAGCAAATAACCATCTTGGTGATTCAGGTATAATCCTACAATGTAAAAAAAATCTATCTAAAATTTATTTCAGTTTGATTAAAAATAAATATATTAAAAAAGTTTATAACTTAATAATTTGACTATATAAATGATATCACATACCAATAATACGATAATAAAAAAAGTGATGGTATAGAAACTGCCATTTGAAAACCATCCCATGTACGTGTTAAATATGAAATTAAAGGATTCATTAAATGACCTAATAAAAATGGTACATGAAAGAGAACTGACATAATGGAACGCCATTCTATTCCTACAATCTCCATAACTGTAATTTATTAAATAAATTTATATATTATTTTCTTAATTATATTATTTATTTAATTTATGAATTACTTACGTAAAACAAAACTGACAAGCATAGTACCACCTGTAGCTATAGCAGAAATGAATTTAAATATCACAAATAATTCAAACCATGGGATAAATGCACTTATAAATCCTGTTAATGATTGTAATCCTATAGCAATCATCAAAGGTTTTTTTCTACCTATTCTGAAAATAAAAAATATAAAGACTACAGTTAATTGATTTTTTCAATTTTATATATATATATATATATCAAATTTTTTTTTTGTTCATTTCATTATAATAATATTTAACATACCGATCAGCCATTATACTAAAAACTAAATTACCAATAAGTACTCCAAACATTATACAAGACTGTATAACATTTGTCAATTGTTCTCTATCACAAACTAAATCCCACTAAAAATTTATAATATAAGTAATAATTCATTCATTTGAAATATAATAATGAATTAAACTAAATTTACTTGAGTTATAATGCTCTCTTTAAATATACGCTTGTCATATTTAAAAATTGTACATTTTTCCATAGTACCATTTCCTATATCTACATAACATTTCATTATTGTAGATTCATTAGTTTTTGATATTGGTGCAGCACATGAAAAATTAGTCGGAGGTGCAAGAAATATAATAGAAAGTTGATGCCAAGCAACCGGAAATTTTACAAGAGACAATGCCACAGCAATAACAATATGCCATGGGCCCATCACACCCATTGCATTTTGTATTACATCTAGTGATGCATGTTCTGAAAAAAATTATTCTTAATTAAGTATTTATACATAACAATTATCTTATACATATATATTAACTTAATAAGAATAATATTAAAAAATATTATAATAAAAATAATTAAATTGAATATATTCATTTATAATTTAATTCATTTATAATAATATATATCATTTATAATTTAGCGGCAATGATTGCTTTATTATCGACAGATGGAAAAGATTTGTATATTATTAGTATTATTTTTTTATTTTTAATTTAAAAGAAATGTTTTATGAAATATTTTTTTTTTATTAAAAAATTTGTATTATGAAATTATATTGATAATATTAATATTGAAAAATTAATATCATCTAATATATAATAATATATATCTAAGTATATAATATTATATATAATACGAAAATTATTATATATATATACATATCAAATAATAAATTTATAAAATTATTCCATTTATCAATATTATTAAATAACGTTAATCAATGAATAAATATTATATTTCATAAATGAATAATTACATACAATTTTCAAGAAAATGATACTTCTATATGATATATATATTACACAAATTACCGTAATATAATCATAAAATCCTAAAAAGATTTATAAGAATTAATAAAATGTTTAAAAAGAAAAAAAATATATATACATGTGCATTTTTTTATATTATATATATACATATATATTTTTATACTATTATTATTAAATTATTGCAAGTAATTTTAAATAAATAATTTTAAACAATTATTTAGAATTACAAAAAAAAAAATATTGCATTTATATATATAATATATAATAATATATATATTATATAATATATGTATATATGTTTATTTAATTATTTTCACTAATTTAAAAATTTAGATAATTAATAGATTAATAAATCATAAATAAATCATTTATAATTACAGAATTTTATGATATAATTACATATATATATTTTCCTAAAACTGGTATAAATAATTATTAAATATATAATTTTCTGTAAAATAGAAAATTACTAAACATATAAAACTAAAAACATCATCAACTTAATTAAATTTAAAAATATAACATAAGAATCGAAAATTTAATGTGCTAAAATAAAAAAATTTTTTAATTTATATGCAACACTAAAATTTTATTTTTAATTTATATTTTATAAAATGAAGAATATATATTTTTTAATTTGTATATATAAAGAAATAAATTACATTATACTATTATAAATGTATTATAGAAATAATAATTTAAAATAAATTTTAAATAAAATTTAAAATAAATGTATTAAAAAATATTATTTTAATTTTAAAACGTATTTAATTATTACTTAAATTATTATATTTGATAAATTTAAATAAAATACATTTTTGGAAATAAGTAATTATTTAATATATATGTAAAAATTTTATTATAAACATTTTAATTGATTTTTTAATTTTTTAAATTTAGTATATATAATGAACTTCAATTGTTTTCACATTCTTTTGGTGATGCAATTAAAGATGCGCGAATTATACCACAAATTGAATGTATATTTAGATTGAGTCGTATTTGAAATACTAACATGAATAAATGTAGAACAATGCCAGATATAATATATTGACTTACCTTTCATCGCTTTTTCGAGCATCGTATTTAAAAACTTTTGTTGAAAAATTTTATTTCCATCTATGAAATTTCTAATGCTGCACAATATTGCGCGTGCACGAATGTTTGAAAGTCTCAACTTCTGTTGAAAGACTTGAGCAAACTGAAAAGATCTACAATACTATTCTTTATCTGCTTTATCGATGTAGATCACAAATGAAATCTTGTTTGTGATATAATTAAGAAATACCTACCTTATCGATATTTGATCATTTATTTTATAATATATAATAATGCGATAATATTTCATTAATTGCTTACAATTCACGAGCTCATTTGTATCTTTCTATTTATTATCTTTGGACACTTTAGAAGAGAATATTTATATATATTTATCACAAAATATATATATATATATATATTTATATATTTTTTTATATAATATTTTTTATTATAATTTATATAATAAATTTTTTTATATAATATATATATATATATATTTATCACAAAATAAATATATAATTAAATATATACTTATAATTAGATTTAATTCCAAAAATTAATGAGACTAACAAAGTTTGTAAGGCATAAATTAAGAAATTAATAAATAATTTATAATAAAACAATAGAATATTTTAATTTTTATTAATATAATAATAAAAAATAATTATAATATAAATTATTAAAAAATATTAATTAAATAAATTACAAAACAGTAAAATAATCAATTACATGAAATAAAAAATTTATCACTCATTCCTATCATGTATTGAACAAATTTCCTTAAAATTCTTTGCTATCAAAGCTTTATTGTATTTTTAAAATATAAATAAATATTTATTTTTCAAATGCAAATGAGCTAAGTATTTTACTTGAAGTTCGTTTTGATTTATTGCTTTCTTCATTTTCGGGACTTAATTTTCTTTTTTTTGATTCTAAAGATGTCAAAATATTATTATTTTGTGAACTTTCATTTTTTTCTTTGTATTTTGCTAACGCATATTTTGTTAAATCTGCAGGGCTTAAATCAGGAAATTCTTCCTGTAAATTTTTTTTGTTTTTAGCATACCAACTAATGAATGTTTCTTTTTTTACTACATCTTTTATTTCTTTTGTCTTCAACTTCGAAGAAATTGATGATAAAGTTAACTTTTGTATCTTTTGTGGAGCTATATCTAAACCAGCTAATCCTATTTAAATATTAAAAATAGAATTCAATAATTATTATAAATACAATTGAAATAAAGAGAAATTTTTCCTTTTTTTATTCTAGTAATAATAATACCTTTTGTTCCTGGAGAATTTCCGCTTTTTAAAAAAGGATTATTTCTTTTTATTGATAATGCTTCAGTCATAGATAATGGTTTAATTTCTATATCTGGTTTTTTTATAATATTTAATGAAAGTTCTTCAACATCATTATCTATCAGTGATTCATCATCACTTTTATTAATATTTTCATTATCGTTATCTCTATTTTCTATATTCTTCTCCTTTTCTTCTTCTTTTATATCAGCAATTGACTCCAATTTATTAGATAATGCTATTCGATTTATTCTTCGTGCATATTTTATTGCTAATTCTAGAACTTTTTCCGAAGCAATTTGTTCACATAATTCTACTGCTCGATACTCCAAATTACTTCGACAAGCAAGCTAGTTGAATGAAATGAATGAATAGATATATAGTTAATATAAATAAATTTAATGAATCAAATATTAAATATACCGCAATAAGAGATAACACTGCTTCATTCTCTTCTAAAGGATTAGTTCCTAATTTCCATAAGTTCAATTCTTTCTCCGTTTTTTCACTTTCAAGTTCACAAAGTGGAAGATATAAAGATATTTCTGTGATTACTGGACGAGGTGTAGTAGGAGGATAATGACTTCCTTTGCATAAAACACAGCGAGCGATACTTTGTAATTCACTTATTCCAATTATAAAATAATGATCTGCTTTACCTTTAGACTATTTTAAAATTATTAATGCAATATAAAATATTTAATATTATTAAATATATTTATTACCTGTTCATTCATATCACTAGCTACTTTCCATAAAGAAGATTTTTTATTATATACTTTAATAATATCATCAGCATCCATTATTACAGGAGATCCAAGATCGGTAATTCCTAACCACATTAATTCTGATGATGGTGATAATGGAAGACTTAGTGTCTTACTATATAAATTTAATCTTTGAATTTGAATTAATAGTAAATTCATACATTGATCCCCTGATATCCCTATTTAAATATCATTTAAATATCATATCATCAGTAGTTCATTATAAAAATAAAAATAATTGCAAAATATAGAATAAATACCTATTCCATTATGATAGGCAAGTACTAAATTATTTTTAAATCCATTCATTGCTACTACAGGACCTGGCAAAGCAACAATTTCACGTTGCGTGCCGCCTACAGTAAAAATTCTTAAATATCTTCTAGATGTTGAAAGAGCTACAAAATTATCACCAGCTGCAATGCAATGCCCTTCTTCACCTTCAGGTAGATCTAAAAACCATTCTTTATTTCCTGAACCCCAACCTATTTTTTAATTGATTATTATTTTAATTATATTAATTTAGAATAAAATTTGCAATAATTATAAATGGATTAACCTTGTAATACTATTACAACAAGTTTACTACGAATATCATTACTTAATGGACAATTTAATGCAAATGCTTGTGATGATAAAGCAGCCATTGTATGTCTTAAATAATTATTAATATGCATACTACGATGAATTGTTACATCATGAAATTCTACTTCAATACTAGATTCTTCTCCATCTTCAGAAGTAAAACACCTTACCATTCCTATGTCATTCCATACCTTGAATTAATATTTATTTGAATTAATATTTTAACTAGATTATAAGATTGATATATAATATTATATAATAATATTATATCAACGAAAATTTTACCATAAAACGAGATAATAAATGTACTGGAGATGAACCAGGTTGAAATGGTGATTGTAAATGAATTTCAGGTATAAAAGCATTTGTATCATGTTTAGATTTTTCAGATAATACATCAGAATGACTTTTTTGATCATCATCAAGCTCCACTAATGCTTTAATTTTATTTAAAGATATAACATTTTCTCCATCATCATCATCTTCTTCTTCTTCTAAGACATTAATATTACTATCTTTGACATCTCCATTTGTTTCTAAACATACTTCATTACTTGTTGTTTTATCAGAAATTATCTAAATACATAAAAATAATAATTTTTCTCCAAATTTATTAAATAATATGTGTCTTATATATATTTATATGTATACCTACAATATCAATACATCCTAATTGACCTAAAGAATCACAAAATGCAATTTCATCTGATTTATCAATATTCCAAGCTAATGCAGTAATTTTAGCATTTTGTTGATGTTCAATATAACCAATTAATTCTTTATTTTCTACATTCCAAACAATTATTTCTCCATATATTGAACTAGCTGCTAATAATGTGCCACATTCAGAAAATTTACATATATTAATTTCCTATAGTGAAAATAATATTATAAAATATATATACATTATATACATATATATATAAATATTATTTATATATATAGCCTTGCTTAATATTATATATATATAGAGAGAGAGAGAAAAAAAGAGAAAAAAAACATACAGTTTTTATATTAATACATTTTAAACGAAACAATTCCTTCCAAGAAGATCTTTCAATTATAATTACATCTTTTACATTAGGATATGCAAGATAACTTCCATTCTTTGGATGAAATGAGGGCACACCATATATTTTAGCTGTAAAAAATGAGTTACACTTCGGTATAACATTAGTCCAAATATTTACAACACATTTTTCTTTAATATTCCATACTCGAATTGAGCCATCTGCGCTTGATGATGCCTATATAAATTAAATATTACAAGGAGCATTGTAATATAAAAACAAGTTAATATCATATATTAAAAAATAAAGTATATCTTACTATAAATTCTTCTTTTGGATCCAAAGATAAACCTAATATAGGAGCTTCATGACCTATTAATTCTATATTATCTGATGTATTAATATCAGTTACTTGTATTCTCATATCACTATATAATATAATATGTATTAAATATTAATATAATTATGTTAATTAAAAATTATCAAAATATATATATATTTTACATACCATCCTCCCGATACTATAATGTTACTGTTTTTTGTTGTTGCTAATGCTGAAACTGGTGCTGAAAATCTAGTAATTATTCCATCTTTTTCAAGATCTGGATAATTAAGAATTTGAATTGTATTATTATCATTGCCAACAAATATTTTCCCATTCTAAAATTATTAAAATATTTATGCAAAATATTTATTGAAAATTTATAAACATTATTAAGTATATAAATAAAAATTTTATAATTAACTATTTATACTTTTGATATGACTGATATAGCTTGTTCTGAGACACAGCTTGCATTTGGATCATCATCCATTAGATTCAACCAAAATCGAACATCTCCATCAGATCCACAAGTAATAAGTCCTCTTCTATAAATATTGTTAATTGTTTATTTTTTAATTATATTTTATTTTCTCTTTTAATGCTCTATGTTTTTTAATTATTCTTTTTATATAAAAAAATTATATTAAAAAAATGAACAACAAAGAAAATGTAATCTATTATTATATCTATATTATTATATATATTGTATATATAATAAAAAATGTTTATATCAAAATTATTAGCAAAAATTATAAAGAAATATGGAAAAATATTTATGTATATCTTTGCTTACTTTTCACCAGAAAAATAACATACATCCGTATGCCCCTCTGGATGTGCATAACGCATAGGTTTTTTTACTAATGGCATTTTTCAATAAATTAATTAATAATTTTATATGATTAAATATAATATATTAATTTATTAAATTTTTCATATAAATATGATCTTTTATACCCGTATTTTGGCGCGCATTTTCGAGTCTATATATTATAGATCCTTAATCAAAAATGTTATAGATATATACGTTAAATATTTTTCTAACTTCCCCTTCCCCTTCTCTCTCTTGTCTTTCTAATTTTAATTTTTTTATTTTAAATATATATATATAATATTATATAAAATTATAAAATTAGTTTTTAATAATCTTTAGCATTTTAGTATTTTATAGATTTAGTATACGATGAATCTTTATTTATTGTTATAATTTACATATATATTAAATATTAATATATTTATTTAAATATGCAATAAATTTTCAGAAAATGAAAAATCATATATAAAATATGATAAAATAGTGTAAAAATATATGTATATTTGACTGAAAAAATATATTTTGATGAAAATATTAATGAATCTAGGGAATTTTTTAATATCAATGCATCAGTCTGAAATATATATTGAAACTGTTTCTGTTCCTATATTCCGCACGTTTGATAGCAGACGCAGCCTTTTCTAGGGTGGCCTATGTGCAACGAGGAGTTTGTAAATTTCGTCATTATAAAATATAAATTTCTCTATTAGAATGACCATGATTTCAAAGGCTGCAGTGGGTATTGCTGTTGGTATAGCTGGAATATTTGTTGGATATTGCTTTTACTTTGATCAAAAGCGTCGTAGTGATCCTGATTTCAAAAAGAAATTGCGTGAACGTAAGTCTAAACTATACTGTTCTCATATAGCTAATTTTTATGAACTATGTCTTTTTTATTTTATTCATGGTTTTATATAAAAAACTCATGTAAAATTTAATTGTTTTAATAATAATTATTAATAAAAAATAATTATTTTTAAAAATCATATTTTTATTTTTTGTTAAATTTTATATTATAAAATATAAAATTATTAATATATATAATAAATAAATAATTATAATATAATAAATTAATTAAAATAATTATAATATAATAATTATAATTATAATAAATAAATAATATAAAAATTTAAAAATTTTTTTATTTATTTAAAAAGTAAAATAATTGTTCAATACACAATAAAATTTATATATTGATATTATATATTAGATAGTATTATTATTTCATAATTACAGGTAGAAAAGCAAAGAAACAAGCACAGAATGCTACTTCAAAGATTCAAGATTTAAAAGATCATGAAGTTGTACAAAGATTTTTCCTACAAGAGGTTAATATTATATTTTAATTAATATTAAAAGTTAATAGTTTAATTGTTATATTATATATATATATATATCTGTTATATTTAATGAATTTTAAAGGTGCAATTAGGAGAAGAAATGCTTTCATGTGGTGATATAGAAGGAGCAGTTGAACATTTAGGAAATGCAGTTGCAGTATGTGGACAGCCAGCACAATTGTTACAAGTTCTTCAGAAAACACTGCCACCACAAATTTTTCACCTTTTATTACAACGATTACAACCTATTAGTCAGGTATGTAATTAAATATAATTTTTTAATAAGACAAAATAAAAGATTTTTTTTCTCATTTATTGTTACAGAAATTATCAACACAAATTGCAATGGCTGAGGAAGATGTTGAGTAAAGTACTATACAAATTGCGTTGAATAATTCAAAATAAAATTTAACTATTAGTAGAAAATGTATGTTTTTTTTTTTTTGATGATGTAGATCATTTGCATAACTTTAATTTGGTCAAGCTTTTTAATTATATATCTTGGTCTCCTCATCTAAACTTCCATATAATCCTTGGTAATTATATATTATCAATGAAAAACATGATTCACTTATATGCATTTAAATTATAAATGGAAGAAATTTTTGTATTAATTTCTAAATACAATCTATTTAAAAATTTTTATTAGCTATTTTTAAAATTGTGACTGCCATATTAAGTTATACTGTGCAAATAAAATATGTGTTATTTAAAGTGGCAGCAATATACATATACATATATATATGTATAATATATATATATATAACATAATCTAGAAAGATCTCTAGTCATACAAGATTTTCTTTATATCTCTTTACATATATGACTACAATAAATTATTCATATTTGTTAAATGTTTCACAATTTTAAGAGAGAGCAGAAGTGGAAAAATAATTAAAGAGTAAATTGATCTTGTTCTGGAAACTAATATATTTAATCTTATAGAAGTTTCAAAATAATTTTATGTATTAATTGTTATAATATGTTAAATACTATGCTCCCCTATTAAGGAATTCATGTGAAATGTGATCTTAAATAATACGTTATTTCCTAGAGACATTTATAAATAAATAAAAAAATACTATTGACTATATATTCATAATGAATATATTTTATAGAATTTGCACAAAAAAAAATTATGCAAATTATGTATTCTATCTTGTGAATATAAAATTAATGTCCTTATAATAGATGTATCATTATAAGCATATGTACATGACATTATTTTCAACGGTACTCACTAGCATACTAAACACTTTATAATTATTTTTTGTATAAAAAAATGTTCTATTCTTATATTAAACAAGAGGCAATAAGAAAGAATCTGTTTATATCTTAGTATCAAATAAAAACTGTTTTTCTTAAAAAAAAAAACTGTATCATGCAAAGATAAATAAATGTTATTAATAAAAAAAAAATTCATAAATCTTTTCCATAAAAATATTTTATATGAATATAATCATTAACAAAAAGATCATATTAAATATATTATAAAAAAAAATATGATAAAAAATTATTAAATATTATTGAATATTTTTCCTTTGAATGAAATAAAATATAATATATAATTTTTTGTATCCTTTAATTCTTTACAATTTATAATAACACGTAAAATATATAAAATTTTACAAATATTTATGTATGATTTATAAATTTTTTTTATAACGATCTATTAATAATTATTAATAATTAATAATTTTTAAATTAATTAATTTAATAAGTAATTGATCTATTAAGATTTTTATATTCTTTTACATTCATGAAATAATTATCAGAAACCTTTTCTGTATTCCTGAGATAAATGACGAATCGGCATAATGAATAAAAATAAAAGAAAACAATAAAATATCAAAGATATAATCTCTATAATAATAAAAGTAATAAAAATAATAGATGATATATTACTTTATCATAAAAGTGCAATGATCATTTACTTGAAACAAATTTACTCATTTTACTCAATATAAAAATATTGTACAATTATACATTATTATTATCATACTATTAAAATATAAAAAAAAAATTTTATATATTTTTCTTTATGATATAATATTTTATAAATTTTTATTTCACTATAATATTTATATTATATTTTATTATATATTTTATATTATATTAATATTTATATTTTATATAATTAGTTTTCTTGATAATGACATCTGTTTTAAGAAAATAGATATTTATATACATGAATTATGAAGCTTCATATATGATATATTGCATTCATAATTTTATTTAAAAATATGAAACATTATAAATTATTATGCATAGGACAATAATATTTTATATGACTTTTAAATTATAATACGGCAGTGTATAGCTTTTATTTTAAACTGCGTTTAATCACATATATATATAATAAAGTCTGTATACAATTTTTTATTTATGAAGCAACAAATGGAATAAAATCAGAATATATTATAAATAAACTTATTAAAATAAAGATTGTAAATTAAACGATATAATAAACAATAATTTTAAATTGTGATAAAATGAACTAGAATTTTTATAAGTTTTATAAGTATTTTTTGTACTTTTTTCATATTAATTAATTATGAAAATATTAAAAATTTTTAAATGTGAATTCCTAAATTTTATTTTCATCATCAAGAAAAACTAATTTCTATATTTTTTCATAACTATTATTAGCGCTATTTGGAATTTAAAATTTCATTTCTTGCTTCTGCCATAACATCTAAAGCATTTTTTTCTATAAGATTTTTCCCAAGATCTTTACCGAGTTGTTCAGCACCCAAAAGACTTAAATTGCTTACTTTGCCAGGTGCGACACTACAGTAAAGTTGCGGTTCTCGATATGGACATTTCCTGTTGTGAACATTATATGAATAATATTTGTGTACTAATTTTAATTTATAAAATTTTAATTATATTTACTTACTTTGGAGGTTCTCCATCATCATCAGGTATATACAATTTACTTTTAGAAGTATCTTTGATAAATTTTTGTCCATCTAAAGACCACACAGCACCAGTAACAGTAAGAATTTTATTTTTTAAGGTTGAAGAAACAGCAACTGGTGCTGAACATCCTCCACCTAATGTTTTCAAAAATGAACGTTCACATACACATCTTAAAGTTGTTTCTACATCATATAATGGTTCTAAAAGAGACAATATTTTCCAATCTGTCTCTCGACATTCTACTCCTAATGCACCTTGTCCAACAGCATATAATACTTCTTCTGGTTCTAATAGCTATGGATGTTAAAAAGAAAAGAAAAATAAAAAAAAATTTATATCAAAATTTTGTATAAACTTGTAATGAAAATTACTTGACTTATTCTATTTTCCCAATTCATTCTTTTTAAACCAGCAGCAGCCAAAATAATTGCTGCAAAGGGTCCATTTTCATCATCTAGTTTTCTTAATCTAGTATTTAAATTACCACGAATATTTTCCACTTTTAAATGTGGCATATTCCTAGCTAATTGAGCTGATCTACGTAATGAACTAGTACCAATTACACTACCTTCTGGTAAGGTAGATAATGTCTTATTTTTATACTTTTTAGACATAACAACTGCATCACGTGGATCTTCACGCCTGTAAAAATATTTGTACTAAATATACTTATCAATTTTTAAATAAAATATTAAAAAATTTGTAAAAATATTATTATATTCAATTCTCATTTTAAATATTTAATTTAAATCTTATATATAACATACTATTTTGAAAACAGTTTTAATACAAAAATTATAAATTAATTTTAAATTAATTATAAATTTATATTAAAATTTATAAAAATATTATTTTTAATTAAAGCAATTAAATATAATAGTTTTTAATTATTTTATTTTTTGAAAGATTTTCTTGAGATTTAATAAATGTTTTTTATTGAAATAAAAAATAATATTTTATTAATAATATTATATTATAATAATATTAATATTTAATTAAATAATTTAAAAATAATTTTTAATCAATTATTTCTTTTTTCAAATTTATAATATAATTGTCTTCTTTGATTTTCAATTTTTTTAAGTAAAAAAAATAAAATAAAAATATATAAAATATTCTGTATTTAATAAAATTTAGTCAAAATAATTTTACATAAATAATATGCATTTTATATACAATATATTTTTTCGTGAATTTGATAATTTTATCATAAATTTAAATTTTAGATATATAAATCACTATTCTAAAATAAGAATAAAATATTATATTTGTTTTAACTTATTTTATAATTTTATAATTTAGTTTTATACTCACTTTAATATTGCACCTAAAGCCATTCCTTCTGGTAATGATGTAGGTAAATCTTTTAATGAATGTACCACAAAATCAACACGTCCACTTTCAAGGGCAAGTTCTAATTCTTCTGTAAATAAAGATTTTTCTCCAATTTTGGGTAAAGATTTATCTAAAATTTTATCTCCTTTGGTAGACATTGTAACTAAAAATTAAATATATCTTCATAACTATTTATTCAAAAATTAATTAAAACCTTTAAATAATTTTAATATAAATATACATTCAGAAAATTATAAAGGTATTTGTTATATAAGTTTAAATATTATATATATGGTTTATATATTACATAAGAATATTTATATATTATTATTTATTGACAATTATATAATAAAAAACATGTATATTAATGATATATAAAATATTATATAATATTTAAATAATTATAATGAACAAATAATTAGTAATTAATAAGTATAATATAATAAATAAAGACAATTTTTTAAAATAAATTTTATGTATAGTTTTACTTACTTATTTGAAATTCTTTTGTTGGGTGATATTCTTTTAAACATTCTATTACATATTTTGTTTGCTTCATAGCCAACTAAAAAATTATAGTAATTATTAAAGTATATTACAAAATGTATATATATTAAATATATAATTTTACTATATTTTTTTTATAAAACATAATTACTATAGGAAATCATGTAATATTTATTAAATATGAAATGAAAATTTGTTTTTTTTGAATAAAAAAATAATAGATGCAATATCAAAATTGCTGACTAATGTAGAATAATAATTGTCAGTCATCATTATACAAATCATATGTTATTTTTAAATAAAATATGATTTACTACTTTTTAAATAAATTAAAGAAAATTTATATATTTTGTAATATAATTATAGAAAAAATACTTTTTTTTTATTTCTTTTATATTCTTAAAATAATCGTAGTATATATTTATCTAATTGTCACGTTTGATTATAAAATTATAAAAATTATAATATTAAATAATAGTGAATTAAAAAAATGTTATATAATTATACTTTCTCGTTTTTGGTAAAAAATTAGTTTATTTGTATATTTACCTCGCTTTTTCGAGATCCAACTCGGATTACGTCACGTGCATCCATACTCGTCATTATCGCAATTTAAATTTTTTTTTGTATATTATTAATTATTAATACAATATTATCAACAATAATTATTATTAAATTATTTTATTATTATAAATTTCTATCTTATTTTGGAATGTAATAAATATATATTATGTCCAAGAGACATAAAAGATTGAATTAGGTCAAAGACATGAACAACTTTCACTATTTGTAAGTAATCTTAAATACAACAGAATAACTCCAATATTTAAAAAAATATTTTCTAATTATTATGAAAATTATATAAAAATTTGAAATTTATTTCACAGTTACTGTCACTGCAGTAGAACGTGAATGTATAATTAATATATAAGTATAAAAAGAAAACTACATCCTCATGCACGTTACTCTCTTTATATCACACACTGAAGAATGCGATTTGAGTAGAAGGAAGAAACAATGAGTGGAATCACTGATACGTGCTGACTATATCATGTCTTGAGAAGTTAGTATAGATTTTATTTTTTAATGCGCATGACAAATGTAATATTCGGTAAACACAGCGCGATGTTTGAAAAATTTTTTTTATAAAATTAAATTATTTTTAAAATTCAAAATCAAAATCAAATAAAAATCAAATTTTAAATTTATTTCTTGCATATATGAAGGATAAACAATAAATATGAAAAACATTATATAAGGATATAAAGGATTAAATAGTAAATTCCAATATTTTTTTTGTATGATATTCTTTGTTTTATGAATTCTAATTTATAATTATAATTGAAAATTTTTATCATAATTATATTTGAGTAGAAAACGTTATATATATATATATATATATATATACATAAAACGTTTTAAATCTAAACTGAATTTATTTTTATATATATATATATAAAACGTTTTAAATCTAAACTGAATTTATTTTTATATATATATATATATATACATAATTAGATAAGATTGATTAAATTTTAATGTACATATAGATTATATAATATAAATTTATATAAATCATATATATACATATAAAAATTAAAAATAAATATAATATATTTCTAACATTATTATATTATAATACATTTTTAACATAATTGCATCTTTTTATTTTAATAAATAAAATAAACACTTTCAAAATTTAAATAATTTTAAATATACAAAATAAAATTATATTTAATTCTGTACAATGTTCATACATTGTAAATACATAAGATATTTTTTGAAAAAATAAATCTTATGGAAATATTTTATAGAAAAACAATTATAATAGAAATATCTAAAAATATTTTTTGTTATTATATGATTTTAAACTTTCAAAAGACTTTGATTAGATTCTAAATAAAAAAAACTCAAAATTCATCATTAAAATAATAATAAATTTTAACATTTTTCGTATTATCAATTATATACAAATATCTTATGTATTTAATATAAAATATATAAATTCATATATATGTAACATATATGTATATTTTGTATTTTAAATTGCACAAATAAAAATTTTAATTTATTAATATTAATAAAATAAAATAAAGATATTAAAAATACATAATAAAAATATTTTTTTATGTATATAAAAATACTTCTATTTATATTAATAATTTATGTTTTTAATTAAAAATTAAGACTAGTTATATTATTTGATACATAAGTAAAAACATTTAAATGCTAATTGAATACTATATTGTTAATTTGTATTTTACTAAATGTGTAAATAAATATTTAAAAATAAATTATTGTTTTAAAATTATGCAATATTTTTTCATATATACTTTACAGTGTGTTTTAAAAATAAAATAAGACTAAAAAATCTATAAATGCTTTATTAAGAAATTAACAAAAAATATATAAAAATGAAAAATATAATACTATTTTTTCCAATTCAATACAAATACAAAGTGTATTATATTGTGATATGTAATATTTATATTAACTATATATAGATATATAGATAAAATATGTTTATTGTTTTTGTAATATTAATTCTATATGATGGTAAATTATACATTATATGAAGTTAATTTTAGTTTTATTTTGTTTTATAGAATAAAATAATCTTCAAAATGTCAAAAATATTTACTTTTATATTATTATATTATATAATATTTTTTTTAATTATTCCAATCAGGAATATATAATGCATTTTATATATGGTTTATGTATCAAAAATTTTAGTACTCTTGTTAAAAATATTTCGAAATATTTCCCAATAAAGTGTAATATTATATTACACTAATATTTATGAACAAATATGTGAAATGTGTACATTTATATATTTATAGCATTTATACTATTTATTTCATATTTTTATTATAACTTCTTAACAAAGCATTCATAGATATTTATTTTATATATATATATATATGTGTATATATATATATATATATATATTAGTCTTATTTTTACTTATAAAATACTATCAAGCATGTAACAAAATTATCAAAAAATGTAAGACATCCTCTATAGCTCATAATGATAATAAAGTCAATAAATTTAATTTACCATTTATTGCAATTCTGCATAAAACTATTTACTGCAACAAACATCCACTTGCATTCTTTGGATCTTTGGTACTTTGATGAATTGAATCTTCTTTAACAGGGGGTAAATTTTGTTCTTTTTCTATTTTTGCAGGAGTTAATCCAAATAATGATCCATATACATTTAAATTCCATATAGAGTTATGTGATTGCATTTGGAAATTAATAGGACTCACTAAACCAAAAGTAGCTTTTGTATCTAATGTTGGAATCTCTCCTGGTATTGTATGATGATAACTTTAAAAGTATATAAATTAAAATTAAATTTTTGTTTATAAAATTTTTTTTTGCAATCTAATATAATACTTACATTAAACCATTTTCACGATTACATTTATCAAGAGTAAGCTTTACTATAGGTGCTAAACGTTTAAATACAGCATGTTGATCTGGTTTTACTCTAGGTGCTGGTCCATTTATTTTTCCATACTCTTCACATAATATTTTTGCTTTTTTCAAACAAGCTTCACTTTCTTGTAAGGCTTTAATTGCTTCTCCACATTTATCCATAGATAATAAATTTTCACCACAATAATTATAAGCCTATAACATATATAATTATACAAATAATAATTATACATATAATTATATAAATAATTTTAATTATTTAAGAAATTTTAATTTTTAAATATTTTTATATTTTTTAATAATTTTCTTACATAAGATTGATAAAATGCTGCTTTAAGTTCTAAATATTTAATCCACTGTGCTGATATCTCTGATTTAAATGAGCGTAAAGTATTAGCAGCATCCAAAAATAATTTACTTGTTTCATTAGCTAATGCTGATATTAAACTAGGATTATGTTTTAATTCTACTGCTCTAGCCACTGTCACTGAAATATGATGTATATAAAATTATATATTTATTAATATTTAGATCATTAATTTAAAATAATTTTATATATTGTATATTATATTTTCTTTACTTGTATATTATATTTTCTTTCTATATATATCATAAATGTATTATAACATATTATAAATAACATATTATACAACCTTCCTGTGCTTCTGCTGTACATTGATTAACATATGCATTTATTATTCTTGGATCTAAATCACTTCCTAATGGTGGAGGATTTGCTAATTGTGGCAAAAATTCTGTTTGTACAAAAGTAAATATTCCTGCAGCTCGTCTTAGCATAGTATGTACATCTTTTGCTTCATTCATATTTATACTAAATTATATCATCAATAAATGATATTTCTATGTAATATTATTTATTTCATATTTCTAATTATTTTATTCTTTATTGTTTATACTTACTCATCTTTAGCAGCAATCATTGCAGCATGTTTCATAAACCAAAGTCCTACATTCATGCTTATATTAGCTGCTTCATATACAGAATCAGCACTAGAACTATAATAAATATTTTAAATTATAGAATATAGTAATATGTAAAATAAAACTATTTTTTTTTTTATTTAAATTAAATAGACGTAGAAAAATATATTACTAAGTATTTGGTCCCAACAATGTATGTGTCCATTTATATACAATAACATTTCTAAGTTTGCTTGGATTTGGTCTACCAATATGTTCAGATTTTTCTGCATCAGAATTTATTTCCCATATAAATCCATATAATAAGCTTAAATAGCTATGAAAGGCTGGTTCTATAGTATCACTTGAATTATTTGGATTTTTTATCAAATCCAAAAGACGATTTCTTGATAATCTCAGATCACTATAATAAAAAAAATTTTAATTGAAATATAATTTTTCTTGCAATATGATTATTTATTTTATATTACTTATTATTATTTATTTATATTACTTATTATTTTAAATAAATTTTATAAAATAATAACATTTAAAATAATTATTGATCATAAAATTAAATGCGTTTAATTTATTTTCTTCATAAATATAGCTAACCTGCATAGTTTTTTTGTAGCATCAGTAGGATTAGTTATTTTTAATTCGAATTTTTGATTTGTCGTAGCTTTTAGTACATTACGATGAAACCAATGAGCCATTTTATTAATGATATAAATTAAACTGTTTTTTTAATATTATTTGTACACTTCAATATAATTTACACGATTTGACAGATAAGGGAAATCGAAGTGGTAAAGTCAAGACAACACAACACAACTACGTATTACATATACGTTATACTCAATAAAAGATATTCCACTTTTTGTAAAGATTGTGATTGTGAATAGATCACGCAATTCTTTGCACACTTCCGCTTTGTGTGTAGCGTAATATCGGTTATCATATTTATTATTTTCCAAAAGGTAAGAATAAAAAAAAATAATATATATATAATAATAAATAATATTATAAATATATAATAATATAAACGTTATGTCATTATTGATATGATAAATTTGTTTTACCAAATTTTATACATTTGTTATTTAACCTATATAATTTTTATATATTAAAATAAATTTTTTTTTCCTTTTTTTATTTTATTTTATTTTAATTTTTTATTAATTTTCTAATCCCTTTGTACAAATATTTTCAAAAATAAATAATGTCCTTGAAAATTGATAATGATATTTTATCTTTAGATTGATAAAATTAAAAGATAAATTTAATTGCAAATTTTTTTTATATAATTTTATCAATAAGTCATAATGCAATTTAAATAATAAAATATGATAAATATAATAATTTTTTTTAGATGGGTGAACATACAGGATTAACAAATTGTGAAGCACGTGAACTTTGTAAGAAGGCTGATCCAGCAACAAATGGTTACATAATGCAACAAACAATGTATCGTATTAAAGATCCACGAAAATCATTACCTTTCTATACTGAAGTACTTGGTATGCAGTTATTACAGAAACTTGATTTTCCCGAAATGAAGTTTTCCTTATATTTCTTGGGATATGAAGATCCAAAAGATATACCTACTGATAAGAGAGAAAGTATTGAATGGACATTTAGTCGTAAAGCAACTTTAGAACTTACTCAGTATGTTTTAAAATTATGTGTAAGTAACAATTAAATTTATTAAAGTTATTATTTATTTTTAGTAATTGGGGAACAGAAACTGATCCTGATCCTACATATCATAATGGGAATACTGAACCTCGTGGATTTGGTAATATTGTTTTTAAATATTATAAAATTGAAACATAAAATAAAATTATATAACAAATATATATAATATTACAAATTTAATATAATATATTTTATTACACAGGTCATATTGGAATTACAGTACCTGATGTAGAAAAAGCATGTGAAAGATTTGAAAAATTAAATGTAGAATTTATAAAGAAACCTAATGATGGTAAGATGAAAGGAATTGCTTTTATTAAAGATCCAGATGGTTATTGGATTGAAATCTTAAATCCAGTAAATATTGCAAATATAGTACCAATTCAATAAAATATTTTGCATGAAATAATTTTTTTGACTATCCACAAATGTATAAATTCCATCAAACAAAATAATCTGAACTAAACTAAATCATCATTGTTTATGTATATGTATATATATATACAGTTTTATATGTACATATACATTTTAAGATTGTAATTATTCATATTTATGTATATTTTATAGCATCTGTACATTGTGTTATATGTATAATTTATGTATAATGTAATATCTAATTATTCTTTGGTAAATAAAATCAAAATATTTATTTTTGAATCATTAATTTTGTAAAAATTGATTTATAAATTTATCCTTATTTTATATTTAAATACAGTTTTAAGCAAAAATATATTTTAATTTTTTATCGTTTATGATATTGTTTTTATCATGAAATTTTAAGAATGAAGAAAATTTGTGTGTAAAAAATATGCAAAAAATTATTATTGTATGGTTCATCTATATTTATATGTCGTACACATTCATATAAAAAGATGGTACTATTTGTGTGGAATATCTTATACTACAGAGTTCCTAGGTATCTTAACTGTATATAATAGAGAAATGTCATTGTCGTATATTACTTTTAATTTTGATTGAGTCATGTCTATATAGCCACTTATATTTAACATAAATATTATTTCTAATATTGTGTAGAGTGCTCCGTGACGATTTTTTTTCGTTTATATCATTAATATTTTGTTTCATAAATTTCAATGATCATCTATTACATTGAGGTTAGGTTTTAAACCGCAACGTGATGTACACATTCAGTATTTATTATTAAAAATTAATATAATATAAAAACATAAAAATGATATTTCTCAAATTTTATTTTTGAAAGCAAAAAATATGATTAGATATATTAATTAAAAAATATCATTAAAATTTTTCTTTTTTAGCATGGTAGAAGATAAAAGATATGAAATTGACAGTCGAATTGAGTGTGATGGACATCAAGGTACATTAAAGTACATTGGTCCTGTTGGTGAAACTAAAGGTTTGTGGCTTGGTATAGATTGGGATGATCCAACTCGTGGAAAACATAATGGTACATACGAAGGAATAAAATATTTTAAAGCTAGGTAAAATCATATAAAAATATAATGTTATATTATTATTATTTAAATAATTACACAATTAAAATATTTATATATTGTATAATAGATATCCTACATCAGGTTCATTTATACGTCCTGGTAAAGCAAGATTTGGAATTTCTTGTCCTGAAGCTATTAAAATTCGTTATGGTTTCATCAATGATGAATTAGCTGGTATTGATAGAGATACATTAATAAGTTTACAAAAGGAAATTAATGCTCCTTTTTTGGAAGTTGTTGGTTTTTCTAAAGTAAATAAAAAACAAAGCAAATTTGATCAATTAAAAATAATATGGTTAAGAGAACAATGTGTTAGCACTGCGGGTGATTCTGGTGAATTAAAAAAATTATGTCCCAATTTGGAAGAATTAGATATATCTAAAAATTTAATAAATAGTTGGCAAATTGTAGCAAATATTTGTTGTCAACTTCATTGTCTTGTTCGACTTAATGTGAGGTAAAATTCCTAATTAAGAATATTAATAACATAATATCTATTATTATTTATTATATATATTATTTATTTAGTGAAAATTATTTGCCGATTGAAAAAAATATAGAAGTATTAAAAAATTCATTTTTTATGATTAAATATTTAACAATGGCAAAAATGAATTATAATTGGTTTGATATTCAACAATGTATGTGTATGTTCCCATTTCTACAAGAACTTTCAGTTTCTTTCAATATTGTTAATATTATACAAAGACCATTAAAAGATGATAATTTAATGAAAATATGTAAATTAACACTTGAAGGAAATTTGATATCCAATTGGGATGAAATTCTTAAGTTGGATTCTCTTCCATGGTAAATTATATATAACATATATATAACATATAATAATTATATAATATATATATTTAATCATTTCTTATTATAGTATTTAATTATAACTTTAATCAAATGTTTATATTAAACAATTATTTATACAGCTTAGAATATCTTAATTTAAATTCAAATAAAATAGACAAAATAAGATTTCCAACTATTGAACCAATAGTTAAAACCACAGCCTTTTTTAATTTGCGACAATTACATATATCGCATAATAACATATCAGAGGTAAAATAAATATTTATGTGATATAAATAAATTATAATATATTATTAACAAAAATAATTTTATAATAATTTACAGTGGCAATCTGTATCAGAATTAGAAAAACTTAATAATTTAGAAGATTTGAAATTTAGAGAGAATCCTATTTTGAAAAATGAAAATTTGGAAACTGCACGTCAATTAATCATAGCAAAAATTGCAAATTTAAAATCATTAAATGGCACTGAAATTTTACATGATGAAAGACGTGGTGCTGAGTATGATTATCTGAAATTGTTTTTATCAAAATGGACTGAATATAATTCTGAAGCTGATTCTGAAAAAAGAAAACAATTTATAATTGAACACCCTCGATATGCAGCATTGGTTGCAAGTTGGTGAAAGATGTTATAATAATGATAATACATTTAAAAAATAATTTTTTTCTTATTAATTATGAATATTATTTGAAATGTTTATAGAATATGGAATTTCTGATATTCCCTCATCTAAAACAAAAGTGGAAATGATTTCAAACGTTATAACAGTAGAATTTGTATGCCCAGATCATCTAGATCAGCCTAAAGGAATTAAAAGAAAATTATTAAAAGATATGGAAGTTCAAAAAGTTATTGGACTTGCACAACGACTTTTTAAAACTGGAGGAAAAATACCAAATCTTTCATTTATACAACAAAATGTAATTTTGACATTTTATAATTCATATATGTTTTATTATATATTTTTTTTATATTATTCTTTTGTAATTTTTTAGCTTTCTAAAGATGAAATATCTTTAGATAAACCGCTTCAGGAACTCAGTTATTATTCAATACAAGACGGAGACCAAGTTATTGTAAGATGGTGATATTAGATGAATTGTTCATAAATATAATTGTATTTTGTACACTGTTAAAACTTCATCACCATACTTTGTTATTAAACTTTTTTAATTGCGAAGATATATTTTTTATAACCTATTTATTAAACTTTTTTTAAATATTAATTTCATAAATTTATAAAGTTATATATCATTAAAAAAAATATTTTTTATTGCAAAAATCAATACATTTTAAATGTACTATAATACAAATACTATACAAAACACAAATTATGGTATGTTTTCATACACTTCATATATTATTTGTTAAAAATGGCACAAAATTTATTATAAATATATTAAATATCTAATTTTGTTGCGCCTTTTGTTTAATTTTACCATATTCTTCTTTTTCAAGTTGTTCTCGTGTTAGTAGAGACAATCCTAATTGATTTTCACGAGTAAATGGTTGAGCCATTTGTCGTAACCAACGTTTACTTATCTAAAAGTATTAAGTAGTGCAAAGTTATATAAAATAATAATTAATAGTTATCAACTTTTAGTTATTTACTTTTGAAGTTTTAAATTTAAGATTTTTACCTGCACTGCTTCTTCTGTTGATAAATTACATAAACTATCTGTTAAATGTTCTTGTATCCATTTTGGTAATTTACTTCGTTTATCTACTCTTGAAAATCTCTAAAAAATTAATTTTGTTAAAGAAATTAAAAATTGAATAAATTATTAAAAATTAAAATTATAATTTTTATTATACCTTATCTGCAAAAATCATTATACCATAATCAGTTTTTCCTCTAATTGCTCTTCCAACACATTGTGCTGCATGTCTCATCGCATCAAAAGTTAAAAAATCATTTTCTCTGATCTATAAAAATCAGAAAATATATTAAAAATAATAGAAATATTTATACATTTAATTAAAATTTAATTTGATAACTTACTTGAAATTGATCACGAAGATATTCTAATCGTGCCTTTAAAATACGCGATTGCGTATATACATAAGGAATACCAAACATCAATACAGCTCTTCCTAAATGATGATCAAAATCAACTCCTTCTGATACTTTACCACGTGCTACAGAAAGAAGAACAGCACCTCTACCATTTTCACATGCTTTTATATAATTAATAAGAGCTAAACTCGTTTCAGCAGAATCTTGAGTTTCAATAAATAATAATTTATGTCTTTGAAGTTGATCTACTACACCTTGGTCATACCTATAAAAATAAACTATAATTATATGATATTACAAATATTAATTAATACAAACCATGCAGCAACAACAGATTCCATGTATAAGTAAGATGTAAAAAAACAGACTAAACCATCAGGAACAGTAGCTGCAAATTCAACTAATAGTTGGCCATAATTTCTTATAACAGCAACATCTTCTCTTGTTTCATATTTTGATGAAATTGCAACTTGATCATTACCTTTTGCTACAATCTTACAGTATTTTAAAATTAATTTATTATTTATTATATAAAATTATAAAAAATAAATATTTATATTTATTTTTTAATTTATATTTATTTTTTATAATTTTAAATTTAATTTTATATATTTTTAATAATATTTTAAACAAAATAATATTATATTTACCATAGGTAGAAGACATGGTCTAGCCAATGTCATGGTAAAAGATGACATTATGACAGGATGAAAATTTAAAATTTTAGGATACATATCTAATGGAGATAATGTTCCTGAAGTAATTACTACTGATTGAAATCTATCAAATATAGGTTTCATTGCAATAGATGAATCTAGACAAACAAAGTGAAGAATTGGATTTAAAACATTAGGTGTTTTGTCATCAAATGGTTCTACTATAATTGTAAATCCTTTTGTATATGTAGAAACTAATGTTGCAAGATGTGTTACTAATATTATTGGTGAGAAATCAGTTAAATCGGTTATCTCCATAGTACGTAAAAGAGAAGCTAATCGCTCTGCACAAAATCTTAATGGTTTACGTTCTATTGAAACTTTTGTTTGAACATCTCTTAAGAATGCAGCAGGTGATTCTTGAACCACATGTTGTACACGTAAACGTGTTTTTAAATATTCTACAAATCGTTTTAAAAAACTAACAAAATGTTCTGCATTTCTAATGTTACCAGGCACTACCTCTATAACAAATATATATACATTAAATTCGTAATTATTACAGATATATCTAAAATAAAAAATTTACCTTGCAAAACTTCATTTGGTAAAACTGGATTAGCTAAGATAATATCAGTTTCTCTTGCAACATGTGCATCTTTTAATCCTTCTACTAATCTTTCATATTCTTCTTTTAATTTATTTACATCATCCTCTCTCATCCTAAATTATAAATATTTTTAAAGATGTATATAATTATTAGTATAAAATTTAAAACATAACTTACTCAGCTACTGTTTTTTCAAGAAGTTGTATATTGGCTGAACTTTTCTCTAAAGTTCTTCTATTAATTTTTACACTCATTGAATCAATGCATACATTATCTAAAATGAACATAAAAAAATATTTAAACTTCTTTAAACTTTACTATATAACTAATAATAGTTATATTGTACCTATATTATGAGCTTCATCAAATATTACTACAGAACTTTTGCTTAATTCCCTAGATACAGTTTCTGCAATTTTAGGATCTAATAAATAATGATAACTATATACTACAATTTGAGCATGTAAAATCTAAAATCATAAGAAAGAATTAATATTTTATATTGTTTCAAAATATAATATTTATTTCTTAATGTGCTTACTGTAAACCTTGCAAGAAAATAGGGACACCAATTGCGATCTTTTCCATATTCTTTTAAATCATCAATAGAATATATGCCTGATGGCATAATTTGTTCTTTGCCTTCCATGTCAAATCCTTCATAAAAATTACAAATTGGTGTGGAATCGTCATAATTATGTCTCTCACGAACATATGATGCTGTGAGAGAATGACAACGTCCATCAACAATTTTGCCTTCACGTTCTCTACTTACCTAATTTAAATATATTATTAATATATTTATACTTATATATAATTATTAAAAATTATAAAATAAAAAATTATTTACCTCTGGATGAATACACATATTTTTTCGTGAACTAAGAACTAAACCAACAATTTTAGGTTTATTTTCAGTTTCCTTTTCATAATAGTCCATAAGTTTTTTTAATTCTTCTATAACTTTTTCTATTTCTGGTACAGTTCGAGAACAATAAATTAATTTTGTTACATCTAATGGATTTTCTAACATGTATGCTACAATCAAAGACAAGAGAGTTATAGTTTTGCCAGTGCCTGAGGGCATTTCTAATAAACAATGTCCCTAAAATAATAAATAAAAGATAAATATCATATAAAAAATAATCATTATTCAAAACTATACAAAATGATTACTTTAGCATCCAAGCCTCGTTTGAGTTCAAGCATATATGCATATTGTTCTGGATAAATATAATCGTAAGGAAAATATACAAGTAAACCGTCAACGCTGATTCTATAAATATAAACATACAATTAAAATTTTTGTTTTAGAAAACTAAAAAACTATTTAATATATATTTATCTTTACTTCATATTTTTATATTTTTTTTGTTATATAAATAACAGTTTTATACACAATAGTATCATTTATTTGTTAATATAAAAACCATGAGATTTTAAACAAATAATAGGTTAAATATTATTTGAATATACAATAGCGCGGAAAAACGAATGCATTAACACAAACTAGCTAAAGAATAGACATATCATCCAAAACATTTTTGTTATAGTTTTCTATTATCATTTTCATGTCAAACGTGACATTATCGATTCAGAATGAAATAAAATAATAGCGCTACTATTACGAGAGAAATTGTAACTAAATATCGTTATTATCACAGAATGGAATTAGACAACAGCGCTACTGAAACAAAAAAATTGTAATTAAATCTGCAATACTAATTTTTTTTACTGTTGAAATATTTATAGTAAGAATTTCTAATCTTAGAAATATATTATAAAGTTGAGAATAAAATATATATAATATATTTTTTAGTTTTCAAAGATAAAATAATAAAAATATATTTTGTTGATATTTCTTATTTCATTTATAATTATGCGCTAAGAAAAAACTAAATATAAACTTAAAATTTAAAGAAAATAAATACTAGAAAGACAGAGATAGGATAAAATTTATAAAATTATCTTTAAAATATCAGAAATGAAGTATAGAAAGAAAGAATAAAATATAATACAAATAAGAAGAGTAAACTAGAAATAGAAAGAATCGAATTGTCATCTCTTGAATGCTCTATCTCTTTAAAGACAGGATAAATTAAGATAAGAATTAAGTATGCATTTTTTAAATATCAAAAATATCTTTTTAAAAGCATTCAAAAAATGGCGTTATCTTAATTTTTATTCTATCTTTTCTTTAATGAGATGCTTTGATATTTCAGAGATGACAATTATTTCTTACTCTATCTTTATACTTTTCCTACTATTTTTCCTTGTTTTCATTGATTTTATTTGTAGTACTCTAAAGATGGAGTTGATTCCATAATTTTTCTATCTGTTCTTCTTCAATTGTTTGCTTTTCTTACTTATATTTGCTTTTAACGCATGACCATAGACAAAATACGAGATATCAATAAAACACACTTTCATTTTATTTTTTTGTCAAAATTATAATATATTTTAATTTTTAATATATAAGATATATGTTTCTGTTCTTGCAATGTATATTAAAAACGATGATCTTGCAAAATATATATCTTAGTATGCATTGCGAGATATCACTCTAAGAGCAATGAATTTAAATAAATAAAAGTTTGATCTAGGAATAAATAAATTTTAAAGTATTCTATTCTTATTAGATATTTCAAAAATTTAATCTGTTGCAATAAAAAAATGCAAGTTTAAGTTTTAATTTAAATATAAGTTTTAATTTAATAATTTAAATAATTCAATTCATTATGAATTTGTCATTTATTCATAATAGTAAAAAGATCTATAATTCAATATATATATAGTACATGAGAGTATTTATGAAATTTATATATCAAAGAAATTATTTTTAAAATCTGACTTTTTTCTCTTTGGTGATTGTTTAAATATAATTCTTGCAATAGAAGACACGAATCACTGATTTTTTTGCGCAATTGATATTTCAGATTATGAAATACAAATTCCCTTAAATGTTAGATTTATTCTGTGATTTGTCTGTGTTTATATATTTCATAGTCAGCAGACCATATATATTATATTTGTAAAGAATATTTTTTAAACACATTTAAAAAATTTTAGCAAATTTTAAAGATGTTAAATATAATATAATTAAATTTAATATAATATCATGTTTCTAATTCATACATGAAATAGAAAATTTATGTAAATTTGTTATTATTCTAAAAATGATCAAATTTGAAATATATATATATAATTATATCTCGTATATTTAATTTTGAATTTTAATAAATAATTTTTGAAATTTGTATATTATTATTAAATTATTTATTTATAAAAGATTTTTCTTTTTAATATTTTTGAAATATTAATCGATTTTTATATCGATTATATTATATTCGATATATTCGTTATAATTCGATATAATTAAACCGGAAGATGTTTGCAACTGTCTCTTTTCCGTGACGATTTAGCGTCCGTAATGTAACACGTGTATGAAATATTAGAATAGAGATTGAAATACATTTAGTTATTATAAAGATATTAAATATTTTAGTTTTAAAATGGGAAAACCAGGTAATTGAAATTAACATATTCTTATATTTAATCTTTTACAAAAGATTATTTTAATTGTTTAAAATGATTTCTATAATGTGCTCTATAATCTAGCATTTCAATTAATTTATGTATTTTATATTCGTACAATTGCATTATTTATTTTATAAAGTATGAATAACTATTTAAACAAATATACTCAATGATTTTTTACTTAAAGATGTAGTTCATTCAGTCAAGTAAATTAATAAAATAATTTTTGTTTATATATAACATTGTTATATATTAATTGAATTAGACATCTAAATTTTATTTTTAGATTTATTTTGTTTGAAGAAATTAAACATATTAAGAAAATGAAACTTAATAAAAAATAAAAGATTATTTTATATATTTTTGAATTTAATATATATTACAAAGTTAATTTTATTATAGGATTTTCACCAGGTGGATTTAGAGGTAAGGGAGGTGGTCGAGGAGGAGGTAGTGGACGTGGTGGAGGAAGAGGTGGAAGTGGTGGTGGTCGAGGTAGTGGTAGAGGAGGAGGTGGTGGAAGAGGTGGTGGAAATACTCCACGAGGACGTGGAGGAAAAGGAGGAAGAGGACGTGGAGGAGGTGGTTTTAAAGGTGGAAAAACTGTTGTCATTGAACCACATCGTCATGAAGGAGTTTTTATAGCTAGAGGAAAAGAAGATGCATTAGTTACTTTAAATTTGGTACCAGGTTCAGAAGTATATGGTGAAAAAAGAATAAGTGTGGAGGTAAATAAGTAACTAATATAAATTATATTATTAATTTATAAAATAATTATGAATAATTATGAATTTATGAAAAATGATAAACAATGACAAATAATTAACAATTTGGATTTTATAGGGTGAAAATGGTGAAAAAATTGAATATAGAGTTTGGAATCCTTTTAGATCAAAATTAGCTGCTGCTATACTTGGAGGAGTAGATCAAATTCATATGCCTCCTGGAAGCAAAGTTTTATATTTAGGTGCTGCATCTGGAACTACAGTGTCGCATGTAGCAGATGTTGTTGGACCAGTAAGTTCATATAAATGTTTCTTTTATGAAATGAATATTGAATTTGAAGTTGAATATTTAATTATATAAATTATAATGCATACATTAGAGCCAAATTAGTATATTATAATTAATTTGGTGTCGACGTTATGCTAGAAAAATTAATTTCTCGTTTTTTTGATCGAGTAAAATATATTATATTTTACTCTAAAATGACGTGTATACAAAATTAATATTTTACTATTTTGACTAGATTACATAATTATATCTATATTATAATTACAGATTTTGTTCATACATTATTATAAATTTATTTTAGGAAGGACTCGTATATGCTGTAGAATTTTCTCATAGATCAGGCAGAGATCTTATAAATGTTGCTAAGAAACGAACAAATATTATTCCTATAATTGAAGATGCAAGACATCCTCACAAATATAGAATGCTTGTTGGAATGGTAGATACAATATTTGCTGATGTGGCACAACCTGATCAAGCCAGAATAGTAGCTCTAAATGCTCAATATTTCTTAAAGAATGGAGGTCATTTCGTTATTTCTATTAAAGCAAGTATATTGGTTATTTTTAAAAAAATTTATATATTTTATTGTTTTTTTTTTTTTTTAATTTAAATTATTTATGCATTTAATTATGCAATCATACAATGATTTTGATTTAGGCGATTTTGATTAAATTATTTATGCAATCATACAATGATTTTGATTTAGGCGAGCTGTATAGATTCTACAGCTCAACCTGAAGCAGTATTTGCATCGGAAGTAAAAAAATTAATTGCAGACAAATTGAAACCTCAAGAACAAATCACATTGGAACCATATGAAAGAGATCATGCTGTTGTAGTTGGAGTTTATAGGCCACCACCTAAAAAAGCTACTTAAAATTATGTATATATATATATATATAGATATATATATATATGTTTTATCTATTTACTAAGAATGCATCATATGATTATGATTATGATCCTTAGAACTGATCCTTATATAATAAGTTTTAATTAAAAAATGAAAAAATAGGAATTATTTGTAATATAATGTAAAGTAATTAATTATGCAGATAATTAGAGTATTTTCTACAAAAAAGAATTAATTTCATTATTATACCTGTACAGTTTATATGTAAAGAGACGTACACGTACGATTAATTAATACAAAATTTATATTTTAAATATATACGATTAATTCATTTATACTTTCATACAAATAAAAAAATTTGATAAAATATATGATATATTTAATTGTGTATATAATATATAAATTTATTTTTGTATTATCAAATCAATTGATTTATCATATCAAATTGTATTACAAAATCTTAAAAGACATAGTAGAATATTTTTAGAATTGCAAAAACAAGTGAAAAATGAAGTAATAACATTTATACATCTTTTTATTTAGCTAAACCTATTAGAATTAAATTTCAAAATTTTCATGTAAAAATTAACTTTAATTATAATCATTTCATTATGTTACATATGAACTAAGTAAAAATGCCACGACCACTCTTAAAAGATACAATCAAGAGCGGTAAGTTATATTAATTTTTTTGACAGTATCACGCATAATTAACCATAATTAATGATAGAAAATTAATTCTAGAATATGTTATCGATGAAAATCATAAACCATCGAGTAAAACAATTAAATTTAAAAAATCCGTAACTACAACAAGTCGTAAATTTAATTCAACCGTGAAAAATCGAGATCGTTTAGTAGGAGGAGCAGATGCTCCTGAGGAACAAAAAGAGATATTGAAACTGCCAGAAGAAACGGAAGAAAAAACTCGTACAGCTGGACCATGTTGTACTTGTTTGTCGCAAGTACCAGGATCAACCGGGTATAATTCTTTTCTAATGATATTTTATAGGAAGATTGATTTATATTGAAGAAATATTAAAAAAAAAAGAACAATTTTAATAAAAAATTAAAATTAAAACTTGTTTTAAGATTAAAAAATCTCGTTTGTATAAGATATTGTTTTACAAATACAGAGATAAGAAGGTGGATGAAATTATTGATTATGTGCATCAAAATTTACAAGAAGCGGGTAAAGCATTGGCTACCTTAGGCGAGAATTTTGAGCACGATTCAAAGGTTGAGCCCTGTACGCAAGTAAAACCGTCATGAAATTGGGAAGACGAGGGTACAATAAATGAAATCGTTTTATAAAGTTGAATATATATTTAAATAAAAATGAATAAATGAATCTGTTCGAAACTCCCAATTTCGTAAAACAAATTCGTAATGTTTTCTTCAAAATAAATTTAATTTTATAAAAAATATAAATAAGCATAAAATAATAAATGCAAACTGAATTTATTTTTTATGAAAGTTGATGTTCGTCGATATACTTGGTCGAATACAACAATGGAGCGGTTTGGTTCAAAACAAATTGGATATTTGTAACAATGAAATTGAAACATTGCGTGAAGAATTAATAGCACGAGCTTGTGAAATCGAAAATCTAAAAAATTTATTGGGAGAATGTGAAGCAAGTTTCATTGATTAAAATTGTTAATTTACTGCAATTTTTAAGATATTCTTTTATAAAATTTTATACTATTCTTTTATAGAAAGAACGTGCAGCCGCTTTAATTCAAGCGGCTAAAGCACAAGAAGAAGCAATTCAAATTGGTGAACGTTTTGAAATTCATAAAAAACAAGAAGAAGAAAGAAGAAAGATAATTCCAGAAGTAACTCCAAAAGAAATAAAAGAACCAACAGAAATAAAAGAACCAAAAGAAGTAAAAGAACCAATAGAAATAAAAGAACCAAAAGAAGTAAAAGAACCAAAAGAAGTAAAAGAACCAAAAGAAATAAAAGAACCAAAAGAAATAAAAGAAATAAAAGAAGGAAACGAGCCTGAAAAAGAAAAAATAGAAATTATTTGCACGGATGCAGCTATTCAATCAATTTTGAAAGACAAAGAAAAAAGACGAGAAATTGAAGTAAATTAAGATTTTTTTTATTTTTTATTGTAAATTCAAATAAAATATTAAAATAACAATTTATTTAAATAGCTTGAAGGTGAAATAGCAAGACTCCGCAAAGAAAATGAACGTATTATAAAAGAACGTGCTGAATATGAGAATGCGATACAACGAGCATTACTTCGAGGTGTTTCATCTTTGAATGTCGAAGCATTGAAAGTTTTACGTTGTCCACCAATTCCATGTTGTACTCCTTGTGCACCTTGTCCTGCTTCTGCTATGTAAAGTTTTTAATTTCTTTTAGCCAACTATTAATTACAATAAAGAATTAGAAAGAAAAAAATCAATTTTAAAGATTAATTTAAAGAAATTAATAAAAAAAAAGTTTAACAACAATATTCTATATATTTTACTTAAAATACTTGGAGTATATTATGTTTGAATATTTCTTTGTCATTATGATCCTTTCACTTCGAAATAAAAAAAATAGCATTTATTGATCTATATCTAAACAAGGTCAATCCTGACTCATTAAAGTTTCACTTTCAGAGAATCGGTTGTACCATGTGCCAAGAAAGGCACTGCGTCAACTGGGATCGCTAAAAATTGCGGCACTAAACGTATCGGTAACGGAAGTACCGTTCATGAAGAAAATTGCACTGTGAAACGACCTTGCGCCAGTCCTTGTTGTTCTGCTGGAAAAAGTCGACAATCTGCAATGAACAATAGTACGATATTTCTTCTTCATCAGGGAGATACAGAAAATATTTGTGGATCAAATAATGTTTCAGTGCCAATTTGCGGTTCTCCAGTTATGAAAAAAATTGAAATACCTCCATGTCCTAGATTTACTATATGATAAGATTTCTTTTTATATCATTAAAATTAGCTATTTATTTAATTTCGTTAATGTTATCCGCGAAGTTTTATGCATACATTGCAATATAAATGATTTATATTGTATTTATGTTTTCTAAATATGATGTGATAATATATAATATAAAAAGGTAAATTCATTCAAAGTATGCATTTATGAATTAAATTATTATGATAAAATTACGTATAGCGAGTATTTTGTTAATAAAAAGTTGCGAATTACTTAAATTGTATATTATGAGTAGAGAATAATTGTATATTATGAATAGAAATGAAGAAAGAAAAAAATATACATTAGAAAAAATTGTAAATACTTACTTATTTACTATTCATTTTTAATTATGAAAATATCTATAATAAATTTCTATTCGTTTTTTAAAATTACAAAATATTTTTTTCTTTATGATGTGAAAATAAAACGCAATATTGAAAGTATAAATATAATTTTATATAACATTATCAGAAAAATATTATAAATATTAAACATTCATTCTCATAAATAACATTAAGATATTTTTCATTATTTACGTAAAATAGATTTGAAATACATAAAATTTGTATAATATTATATCGAACGTTATACATATATGATATTTCAAATATTATTCATAAATTATTTAATTTACACAATTCAATGAATAATAATTTAATTAAATATAACTTAGATTTTAATATTTTTAAATTTATTAATTTTTGATTTGTTAAGTTATTAAATTTTAAAATTAAATGATAAAATTTTCCACAACAATAATAAGTTTATAAATGTATAATATTTATAAATATGTAATATTTTATTCTTTTAAGTACTAAACATCATTATTTTTAACATATATTTTTAACACAATTTTTAACGATTTAGATAAAAAAAATTAGTTTCATTACTTAAAAAAAAACAAGATGAAATCATACATAAATATTATTATACAATGATATTAAAATATTTTAAAAGTATATTAATAATAATCACACTGTTTTTTTTAAATTTTTGAACATTTTCTGATACACATTGAATACTAAAATATGTCAAAATTACTATTTTCTTTCATAAAATATTTTATATATTCTTAAAAAAAATTATGAACATATATAATAATATATTAATTTTGTATTGTAATATTTTAAATAACACTTTATAACTAAATAATTATATTTTTTTTTATAACTAAATAATTTATAAAAAAATAATTATAACTAAATAACTTATAACTTTAGTTTATAACTAAATAATTATATTCGTATACAATAAAAAATTAAAAAATAGAAAAAAATCAATATTAAAACATTTTGTGTTGTAAAACGTATGGCTGTTAACGTTTTACAAGCTGAAAACGATAACGAAATCAAAAGATTTATCGTTTATTCGTCATGAGAAATTATTTCTAAAATATAATAGGCTTATCTGTGTTTCTCGTTTGGCATGATATATCGCGATGCGAACACTTTTCAGTCAGAATCGCATAGTATAGAATCTAAAATATGTATTGTCACGAATTACGAGGCCATTGGTTGAAAGTGTTCTGGCAATCGTTCAGTTCATACCGATCGAGAAACCTCGATCTCGAAATTTCTTATTTTCATAAACGGCGCAATTATTTTACCAAAGACGTTTTAAATGCTATTTAGTTTTCTGTATATATTAATAATATTATGAAAGTATTTGCAAAGTATAACAATAATCAAAAACATAATTATAGCTGGTCCAGCAGCATAATAATATTATTAATATATATATATTATTAGCAATGTTGGATATCTAACGAAAATATCACATACTTTCTCAAATATATATATATCGTTTTGGGAAATGATTCATAAGTTTTTCTTTGCATAGAAATATTAATTTGTAAAACTTATGAAAAATTTCCCTATGTAATTACCGTATTGTCTTTGTGTCATTCGATCAGCAGTTTAAGAGTGTCTTGAAAAACGTCTTAGACAACATTGTTTAATTTTATTACGTCGATATGACTATCCTTACATGAAAAAGTAATTAAAATAAAAAAATATTATTTTAAAATGTTATGTGTACAAAATATTCCTTAAAAAAGTAAAAGGAATATTACAAGAAAGCACGTCATCAAATCAACCTGTTTTTCGACGCCTTCTAGTGAGGTAGCAGTATGACAAAAATATTAAAAGAAGAAAAGTATTGGGGGCCATTTTAAATACAGTGGTCCCTTGGCCAATAATAAAAAATCATACTTCGAAGAAAGAAATTTACTTATTATGAACCAGATTAAGGAATTCCTCGCGAGTCTTGGGATCATCCCGGAATACGCCAAGCATCGTTGATGTAACTGTCTTGCTATTTATTTTCTGCACTCCTCTCATCACCATACACATATGCCTGTAACATGATAATGGTATTTTTCTTTTAATGTCTCAGTGCTGTTATAGTTGAATTTCATTCTTAGAAGAAGAATTGATTCTTTATATATATATATATATATATATATATATCAAAATTATATATATATAAAATTATACTATATTGAAAAGATCTATTAATCTAATAATGTAATTAAAAAATTATAATCAAGACATATTATAACATATATTTATTAATAAAATACAAATTATTTGTTGTAACGAATATGATATTTAACTTTAGGATTATGAAGAAAATGAATGAAAAAATTAATTAATTAATCATTTATTTTGATTATTTTTTTTATAAACTTTTAAATTAAAAAAACTATAATTATATAGTAGCATTATTTAATTTAATTAAAATATAGTTTATAATTATATATATTAAATTATTATTTATATAAAACACTGATCTAAATTGATCTAGATTGTTAATAACTTTGAATTGTCATTTATTATAATGCAATATTTGTATCTTGCAAAGAAATCTAGATTAATTTCATTTATATTTAGTGATTCATTCATATTATATATCATTATATATATATAAAAATCATTAAATAAATATAAGTATTAAGCATTCGTATATACGTTTTTAAACCAAGAATAAATTGTTTTCTATTGAACGAGAATACATTTTAATTCTTCACCAAGTGATAGCACCTTATTAGTACAAGGTTACATTCCTACGTGCGATTAATCCTTGCGAAAACTATTGCTCAAGATTCGAATGTATTGGAATGAAATAGGGTACAAAAAGAAGAAGATATAAAAATATAATGTTATGTACATTTTTGCAATATTTTCCTTACATTTATTAAAGCTAAACCATAAAGTTATTCAATAAATTTTATTTATTTTTAATGATAAAAATACGTACACTCCTTCGACGACTACAGCCACTCCTGCTGGTTGCACTGCTTTCGTTACCGCTACCGCAATTTGTTTGGTAAGACGTTCTTGCACTTGAAGACGTCTGCTGAAGATTTCTACAATCCTATTAAATATAAAATAAAAAAAGAAAATAAAAATCGAACGATATAAAAAACTTTGATTGATTAATTTGTATATATAAAAATTTATTCATTGTTCACAAAGTTAATAATAAATATTAAATTTATAATATTTTTTTTATAATTAAGTAAGTGGCCATTTGTGCATTCGCCGATTGAGTGAGCAATGTGTGAAAGTGGACGGTATACCAATACTTGTATTTTTTTCTTTCCGCTTTAAATATTTCTTTAATCAAATGCGTAATTATTACCAATGCAATATGTAATCTCTTCGTGAAATATATTATTGGGATTGGTTCATCATTAATTTATCTTAACGAATTTTTATTTTACTTTTATGATTACATAAATAACCAAATTGATGATGAAATAATCTACATTCGATAATAATTTTAATTATCATATATATTAATATAAATTGCATCAATTCTTATTCAATTAATTCATAAAAATTTGCTCGTTAATTACACATAATATAATAATTTTATCATTTTTTTATCAATTTGATCATGTTACGATTATAATCATTTAATCTTCAAAAAAATAAATAAATTTATACGATTCGAGATGTATTGATTTTCGAAAATATAAAATGAAACAATATGTAATAATAACAGATAATCAATGTAATTTATAAAAAAAAATAATAATAATAGTAATAAGAATTACTCATTAATAAATAATTTTCAATAATTAATTTCAATAAATTATTTTAATTTAATTATTCAATTCAATAGAACAGGATTTATTAAAGTAATTTATTTATAATTATTATATTATATATAATAATTTATTTATTTATTAAAGTATACAAATGCTAATTAAGACAATTTCTTGTTACCTGGCTAATTTACTGAGACCAAGGATCTTCTTACAAGGAAGATAACCGATCGACACCTTCCCATAGAAAGGTACTAAATGATGTTCACACATGGAGAACATCTCGATGTCCTTCACTACAACCATCTCATCGTGATCTTCATCGAAAACCGCATCATTTATAATGTCTGGAAAAGGAAGGTAAAAAAAAAAATCGCATATAAATAAATACCACGTATAACAATAAAGGAAGCAAGAAATCGTAATATTATTTCAAAAAATTTCCTATAGGTACAAGGAAGCTATGATCTATCAAGATCACGCGATTATTGCACAATTCAATTGCAATGCAAAAGCAACCAATCTTGTACAAAGATGAGAAACGATCGTCGTTTAAATTGTTCTGCGAAGAAAGAACATCTTGCACGTGGGTTAAGGTCCTCACGATCCTAGCTGTGATTTACTCGATATTGACCTACTTACTACATCGTCTAGGCTAGTGGTGGTGTATAGGTATGAGTCGGTGGATAGTAGGTGTTGGTGGGTAGGTAATGGAGGGTGCTCTCCACGGTTTCCACGGCAACCTTAACAAGAAACACCTTCACAATGACCGACAATGATGAAACCAATTCACATTCTGGTTAACCAAAATGTACTTTTTATGTTACGTATTTTCCTATACATAATACAATTTTTGCTATCGATCATAGCAATGATTCTTCGCATTTTTTTCTTTTTGCAAAGAAACGATAAAGATATGAATTTCGAGAATTTTACTGGATTTTAAGGGAAGTTTACTTTTATGTGCATGTCTATCTCTATATTAGACTATACTTGAGTTTAATTTCCTCTCTTCTATACGTACTGCCTTTGAAGCAGACGTTAAAAGCGTGTAGTTTAATTTTTCGATTCAATGATCTAATACGATCATCGTTCGATTGGAATTCGATGGAATTTTTTTCTATTATCGACAAACTTAATACCTATGTAGTTTTTTTTTTTATTAATATATATCTTCATTTATTTCTATTTATAGAAATAAAAAAAATTAACGAAAAAAAAAAAGTACAATCACAAATATATGGTATAGGAAGTGAGATAAGGAAGTGATATCGATTTTGCATGCATCGAATAATGAAATATATATTTGTATATAATATTTTTGTCTAATATAAAGCAATATATTAGCTGCCATAATAATTATGAATATTAACTCTAATAATAGGATTTTAATGTTCGTGACTTTCACTCTATAATCTTGTTCAAAGTAATTTTCTCTATTGATTTTGAAATTTTCATTAAAGAAAATATATATTATATGTACATAAATGTACATACATATAATATTCACGTACAGTTGCAACGGAAATTCGGTCAAGCTTATCGATGAGAAAGACAAAGAGAAATTGTCAGAGGGGAACGGTTCCGTGAGAACCGTGGAAAGTAGTTACAAAAGGGGTGTGGGTTGAGCTTTCGTAGGAAAGTGGTCGGGACTCGTTTCAGATTCACTGGGGCGAGTAAAACTATCGTTAACGGAGCTTATCTTGAGAGCAATTCCACTTTAGAAGAAAGAAAGGTTAAATCGAAGTGAATTAAAGTCTTTCCACCACCTGTAGCTATTGTTCCACCCATATTAAAATCGTATAGAATTGTACTAGTATTTATTGCTTGCTATTTAATTTTCAATTGGTATTGAACCATAGTTATACCATAACTCGCAACATTTAAATTAAGTGAGTTATTGTCAGAATAAATCTCTTATTTTAATTTCTATTCTGTGTTTTACGTAATATAATAAACGATACATTCATATAAAATATATATAATAATATGTATATATATATATAATCATGTAAAAAATATTTATGTATATAAAAATATGAATAAAAATTAAATGACTAAAATTAGTGTTAAATGATCCAAGTTAAATTTAATCTAATGTAAATATAATTATCGCAATTACATTTGACCCAATTATACTATCAGAGTGAGTACTGAGAATATAAATAAAAGAAAAAAAAATAAGCAAATGCTTATTAAATAAATTGGAACGATAAATTATTTAACAAATTAAAGATTATAAAATAAAATTATAAAATATTCATAAATTATAAATTATTTTTATAAATAAAAAATATAATTTTTTATATATTCATAAATTATAAACATTTTTAGATAATGTATCTAAAAAAAAAAGGTGGTATAATGTAAAATCGCTAATAATGATTTTATTTTATTTAACTGTTCGTAAAATCATAATTACCGGAGAATAGTAACAGTCTACTTGGCATAAGATAAATGGAAGGAAAAGGTGAAAGGCATTCTTTTCGAATTCGCTGTGCGTCCCTGAGACCCATTTATATTATGAGCTTTACGCTCTCTTTTTTCGAATCATAGATACTTAAGTCTTCCTCTCTTTTCCCTTGTGACGGATCTCGAGCAACTTGAAGGAGAGAAAGAAAGAAATGGACGAGTATTTTTCTCGAGTGGGTATATTCATGGTTTTATTTGTTCCATTGACTTTATAATCTAAGAAAATCCTGATCAAATCGTTCGTACTATCTTTAATTGAATAAAACATTTAATTTTCTTTGATTGAAAAAGTAAGCCTTCTTTACTCTAATTCATGTATGAGAACATCGTTATTTAATATTTTTTCATTTCAATTGAATAATACTTAATTTAATTTATTTGTTTATAATTTTTTTATATATCTTTTATGAATAAAGAAGAGAGAAAGAGAAAAAGAATATTATTGGAAAAATAGACTTACCATCGATACATTGATCATAACCTTTCGTGAAAAATAGCATAGCTTTCGCGGCACGTTCCGGAGTTTTCAAAAGACCTGGTCGATTCGGGTCCTCGCCAAGCGAGCTCAAAAGTAACTTGTAACTCCGTGACATTTCCGGAAGAAGGGCTTCGCGCGTGGGTGGCCTATGATCTAGCTCCAAATCGTGGTGAAACGTGCATTTTTCGTGACCTAGAAAAAGACAAATTAAAGATTTTCTAATAATTTTATCGATTTTTGAATATTTGCTATATTCACTAACAAAAGATTTACATTTATCTTAAAAGTATAAAAAATATTGAACGGAAATAACATTATTGCTCAAGCGTTGTTCCTTATGCAATCTGCTTCTATTTTTCAATTAAAACTAAGACAAAAAATATGTACAAATATCATTATTATCACCGGCAATGACCGCAATGACCCTATGAAAAGATTTATAATCCGAGTTTACGACACTTTGCGTGTGGTAAGAAAAAAACCAATGTGTATTTTTTTTATCTAGCAAAAAGTTTTAAAGTTTTATTTTTACAATCAATTTTGTATGCTAGTTATTTATATACAAACACTCATAATTATTTATAGATATATATATATATATATATATATATTTTTTTTTGATAATTTTTTTGATTTTTCTTAAGAAAAAATATATGTATATACAAAGAATTTGAAATATTGATAAACAAAATGGAATCATAAGTTACGAACTTTTATTAAAAGTGGATATCTAACAACGAAGTTTTAATTGGCAACTAAATCGAATCAGGGAAAAACTTAACAATGAAACATAATTCGAAGTAAATTTTAAACTAATTATAAATTTTTTTACACCAGTTCCTTTTTTTCTTCTCTTTTTTTTTCTTTCCTTTGCTTACTTCAAGGAATACGAACGATCGCGTATTCATAAGCGCCTATCGTTTCCATTCACGATTAACATAATGCTTTAATTAACAGTCACTGATATCGATCGATCGATCGTTTGGCGAAATCTCGTGTAACGATTCGAACGATGTATGCATATAATATGTAATATATATTCCAAAGTGATGTGATTCGATGATGAAGTTTGCTGTTGATGGTCGGCTACGTATGCACGCGTTGCCGAACTTGTTGCATAACGATTAACGACGACGTTACAGCGATGAGAAGGCGAGATTTCTATCGATAGAAATAATTTATCACTTGTATAACACTCCATTTGCGAGCAATCTAGAACGTATTAAAGCGAAACTGCTCTCGGCACTTCTCTCTTGTATAGATTTATTCTCCGAGGATAGAATCTAACGCTGGAACTGACGTATTCACGATGGAAAACTAAGTTAAACCATCCTCTTCCTAATGAACGGTATCGTGTAATTCAATCGAGCAACGACACCGCTCTGATAGCATGAATAAATCGAGGTTTTCCACGGTCAATATGCACACATTGTTCGACATTGCTGAAAAGAATTAATCAGATTGAACTATGTGGATCGTTTTGAATCTGTTTGTTATCGTAAAAATTAAATTTTTTTTACTTAACTGTGAAATTATATTTCGCTAAACGAATGTTGAAACGAATAGATAAATTTCGTATTTTTGAATTCGTTTGAATGCGTTAATAGATGGATTATTTTGAAGAATCCGATAAAATTTTTTGCAATGATGAAACTTATTTTGACAAAATAAATAAATAACGAAATAATAATAATAATAAAATAATAATAATTGAAATAATTTTCGATATCGTTTCATCGATGAATCAATGAATGATTTCGACGAATGTAATATGAGTACCGACAAACACAACAGATATACGAGATTTTTCGAAAAATGAAAGGAATTCTCTATTCCTTCAGAAAGTCAGAGGAGATCATACATTCGTAAGGTCACAGCTACGCGTTACATACAATCATAACTGTACTCCAACAGTTCCCAAGGTCTTTTATCATTTTTAAGATCTGCAGGTTACGATTGACCTGGAAACGAGAAGTATGACGTGAGTATTCTCCAAATATTTTTCGATTTTATGAATGATAGCAATAGAATAAAATTAAATGTTGTCAATTATATGAATTAAACGAACAAATAGCGATAAATAAAGAGGATGAGAGATTTAATAATGAAAGACTTAATAAAAAACTTTTAATCAGTAAATTCATAATTCGTAACATAAATAATACATGATAAATAATAATAAATAATACATATCTCTATTTTTTTTTTTTTTTTTTTTTACAGAAACTGCAACAGGCTGCAGATTGAAACAAGTTACGTGCCACTTGTTACATTCATGCAATCGATTAAATGCAGAACTAATGGCAAAAATCGAGAAAATTAAAATTTTTTTCTTGAATGTAGATAAAATACATCAAAAATTTAATAACGATTAACTTATAATAGAGAATTTATAGTAAATTATAGATAATAACTTGAGTTGCTATTGCAATGAATTTAGATACTATGAATAAATCGAGATTTTGAAATAGGGAATGACTACTTGTATGCCACTGTTATCGTAATCATCCATCATGATTATCAATTGCGAAATAAATCGGAGAATAATTTTAATAACAGGAGAATAAAATATTCTTTAATTGCTCCATTATGAATCTATTCCACGAAATAGGAATTCAATAATAGGTTTTAATAATGCACTAATAATAGTTGCTAATAACAATTTATATTACCTACCTATTTCTAACAATCCATTAAATTTATACGTCATTAAAAGTCTTGAAAATTACTTTGTGGTCTAGAAAATATTACGTAGGCAAAATGCCCAATGATTAAGACAATGGACTTTTCTCGGAAACGATACCTGGCGTTGTGGAAGTTCGCGGAGTTCTAGGAGTTCCTGGCACATCCAAGTTACTTTCCTCGACGTTCTCTGACCAGGAAACAGTCCTTAATGGTCCCGGTTTTTTTATCATCATTGTATGTTTGTCTTCGTCATCATATATATTTAGATCCTTAATTTTAGTACATTGGCTGGAAATTCCGTTCATGATTGGGGCTTTTTAACCTTGTTTGCCACTTAAATTATAGCAAACGATCCCTTTTAAATCCGAGAGATGATCGGTCGATGAGGAACACAGATGCTCTATCAAAATTGATTCAAGGCATTTTGAACGAATGGTATAATAATTGGAAAATAATATTAATAAAAGAGAGAGAATCGATATAATGTCAAATGTTAAACACGCCGAATTTAAAATTATAATATTATAGAATTATTTATTAATATCATTGAAATGTTTACTTATATTGCAATAAATAAAAATATAATGAATTTCTATGGTATTTGATGTCGAAATGATAGTTGTATTTTATGTAAAAATTGTTTCATTAAATGTGTAATCAGATGATAATAAAATAATTTCCCCATCTTTTATCAATAAACTTGTCAATAAAAAAAATTAACAAAAGAATTTTTTTTTAAAAAAGAATCATATTACAAATAACGCGCGATTTTCAATTTGATCTCAATAGCTTTACCACGTGATTCACGAACAATACGCGTATGTATAGCAAGTTTTAGCGAATCGCGTTCAATCTCAATCAAACCAATGAAACTTACTCGCAAGCAGATTCAATCGGTAGGTTCACGTGCACCTCGGAACTTTTTGGAGTATCAATGCAGTAAAGGTGGAACGTCGTTGAAAAATTTCTATTTTCAGTTATTAATCTTATTTTGTCCTTTTGCTTTCCAAAGACTAAATGTTTATATTCGCAATAGCAATAAAACTATTTTTTAGATAAAAAAAAAAACAAGGAAAAATAAAGAAACGACAAATATTTATTCGAGACACGAGAGAAGAGAAACTAAATAAAAAGGATAGTAGTCAACGAGTCCAAAAGGAAAGAAACGAGCACGAAGTCGCTCGATCAAGTGACGCAGTGTGACTGAACCGACAGAACCGTAGAGAGTGCGATTGTCCCCTATGTATGTATGGTTCTTCCCTCTCTATCTCTCTTTCTCTCCCTCTTTCGTTCTAATCGTAATGCATCTGCATTCCTTTTTCGTTTTCAATAATTTTTTTGTTTTTTTAAATTCTGTCTTTTTTATTTAAATGTATATTATGTTGTAATATCACATTTGATTTCTTCAAAAAGCAAGTTTACGCAATTAATAAATTAAAATTCGCATCGCGTTCAATATATATGAAGAAAATGCAAAAATACACAATCAGTAACCCAATGCTGATATTGATTATACGTAAGAATGAGATTAATAATAATTGATAATAACATAAAAATGAGAATATCTCCAAGTGAATAAGATCTTCCCTCTCTAGCATATAGAGGGAAATAATGAACTTTATCCGGAATCCACATTGCAAATTATAATCTCAAGTGACAAGTAGCGCCTCGATTGACGGAAATTGTTGAAATATTTGTAATGTGCGAGGTCCACACAACAGATAATTATATTAATTTTTTATATAAAAATTATGTACATATACATAAAAAATATTGAAAGATTTAAATATTATGATATTTTATGATAATTTACAATAAAATAAAAAATACAATGATTTGAAATACAATTTTTTTATTTTATAATAATTATCAATTGTTAAAAAAAAATTTTAAATATATAAAAAATTAAATCTAATTTTTTTATCAATCAAGTAGCATTTGCATATCATAAATAATTAGAAAAAATAATAAAAAAAATTAGAAACAAATAATATGATATCGCGGATTCAGAATAACATTGCTTATAGGGAAAAATTTATCTTAATATAGGAAAGCATAGAAAATTCATTCTATGAGTTTTTAGAATGCGAGTCAGAATCTACGTCATCATGATTTCTAAGAGACCGGTTTCCCACACTTATTACCTTTTCCTTCTATTTGCAGGATTTCTTAAGATTGTGCATAGATGTTTCCTAGTAACGTCCTACGCGTATGTTAAAATCTCAATTTTATAAGAATATTCAAGATTTCAATTTTTATAAATTATATTTTTCTAATTAAATAAGTTAAAAAATGTAAGATATAAAGAAATTATTATTAATTTTTCTTCTAAAATATTGTAAAAATATCGAATTATTATAAAGACAGGTATGCTACATACATTATATATGTGCATATTTTTTAAAATAATCTTGAAAGTAATCCTAATATGATTTCAGTATTCTCATATTATTATTAGTACTAATTAAAAATATCGATAACAAAAACCATAACAATGATATTAGCTACTGTCAGTTTCAATAATTAAATTTTATCATTGATGAGGTTATCATGATATTCAGGCTAAACTATTAAACTACAATGATTAAAGTTAATATAGCTATGGATATTATACTTTGTGATAATACATCAAAGTCATTTATGTAATAACTTACTAATTATCCAAATTGCTTATTATTAAATTGTATCTTTTTTATTATTTTGCTCAAAAATATATTTAGAAAACGTCTAAGTATAAATTTATATCTTATCCATACAACCTATAAAAATACATTTGTTCATATTATTTCCTAAACATAGTATATCTCGAACTACATAAAAGCGCGCAAAACTATGATTCTCGCCCGTATTCATAGTTGCACTACTGAAACTTGTCTGAGTTCAACTGACCTTCACTACTTGCAATCAATACAAACTACTATTGTAATTTTGTGAAATACATATTTGGTTTTTGATCTCATTAAATGTGTATCACCTTAATGATATAAAATTTAATAAAATAATATAAAATTCAAGAAAAAAATATTTTCGATGATTCATTGTATGATTTTATTAATGTTAGTCTAATGATTTAACGAATGCTAAATTTTTTTATATTAATAATTATGTTGAAAAGAAAAAAACTAAAGGAAAGATGACATGTAAAAAAGTTAAATCGTATCGGTAAAGAATTCGAAGTCACTCATGTAAAAAACAATAAGAAATTAATATCAAAAGCAATGTAGGATGAATGACATAAAAATGAATTTATTCCATTATTTGAAACATGTAATTATAAAAACAAAAAATCTTTGGCAAAAAAAGATTATTAATATATCATAATATTTCTATATGTAATAATAAGAATTAACTATTAACAATGAAACTTTTTCTTTTGATAATTATCTATTGATAATTATTATTATATAAAAAATTTTTTTTATAAAATATAATTTTTCAAATTTAATATTTAAGGTAATAATAGAAATAAATAATGAATATTAATGTATATATATTTCGTAGCATCGTAAAATATAACTAGAAATTCTATATTTAAGTTTCCTGTTCTATCCTAATATCGCATGCTTTATCCTAATACAGATATTTGATATTATTATTTTACTATTTGACACTATAGACATTCAATATCATTTCTAATACTATTTTGTTGTTATTTAATATGATTGACATACATAAATCTACTGTAATATGACATCGGGCCGTTTGAAAAGAAATGCAATGGATACAAGAAGATACAATTCCATATTATTACATACACAAAAAAAATAATCATACATTAATTGAAAGCATAATAATAATGAAATTAAAAATTTATTATAAATTCTATTTAAAATATTTGATTTTATTAATTATTTTATAAATTTTTTATAATCATTATTCAGTTTGTATTTTATTTATTAGATTATTTTTGATTTCATATTTTATTATTAGACTATCTAATAAAAGAATAAAATTTTAAAAATTAATAAATTCTTTAAAAATCAAATTTAAATTATAAATAAAGAATTCTGTAAATTGGATAAAAATATAAAAATTATGGCATTAAGAAAAAACTTACTTTTTTTTGCTGTGTAATCCATTTTATCTTTAGAATGATCTTTAATATATTCCGCCATGAAAGTTTGAAAAAAAAGATGATAGTTATGATTGTAATGTATATGGTTCACTAATAATATTCCTTCAAACAACAAATTTATATATATACTGAGAATGAAAAACTTTGTCAAACTAAATCTTCTATAATCTTCTGTCAATTTAACATTTCTAATAGCAAGAAATACGCTTTATAATATTTATATACTTATTTATAATATTGTTTCAAAACTTACAGTAAATGAAATTGTAATGAAAATATTTTAATTAAAATATAAAAATGAATAGTTAATCTTTTTTAAAATTAAATATAAAACGAATAAATAATATTATTAATAAATAAAATAAAGAAAATAATATAATAAAATGATTAAAAACTATTATTTTGTATATTAACATATTAATAAGTTTTATTATATAATATATAAAGACAGAAAATTTAATTTAGTTTTTTTAATGTATATAAATTAATGTATATTTATTTTTTTAAATTTTATGAAAAATCAAAACTATAAAAACTATTCAAATAATTTTATGAAAAATTAAATCTAATTAAATTTTGAGTAATATTAGAAAAATAAATATTTAATAGTTTAATTATATAATTACATTGAATATAATTTCATCAATTGCATTGAAATGTTATTTCTATTTAAAAACAAAATGATTCATGTGATATAATTATTACAGATAATTATTATAGATAATAACTGTTTAAACATAATTTTATTTTATGACTCAATAATTTGATACAAATATAAATATAAATTTATATTTATATATATTGTATTGTTATTGTATGTTATTTATATGTTTTTAATAAAAAGCAATTTTATTGAAAATAACATTTCCATTAATTCATTTATAATTATACAAATTTATATATATATATATATATATATATATTTATTAATAGAATACACATATGTATATTATATTCTCAATGATTAATATGAATACATATTTTATTTAATGTAATTGTATAATTCACATTTTTGAAAATGTAAATGGATTAAATATTTTACATAATTTTTATTATTAAGAATATATTTATTATTAAGAATAATAAGCAATAATATTATATATTAAATTATAATATTTATAAAAAATTATATATAAATTAGTTTTAATAGCTAATTAAGAAATGCATTTTTATCATAGATTCTGCGTTTTTTTCAAACCTCTAAACCCTTTCTGTTAATTTCTAGTAGCAGAAATATGCATCTTTTTGGAAATATACATATATTATTTATATATTTCAAGCATATATAAGACGAAGTAATTTCTTTATAAATTCAAGCTTATTATTTTTATCATTTAATTTTTAAAATTATTTTAAAAAAATTTCAACTGTTTGAAAATTGTTTTAGATGTAGTTATAAAGATAAAAATATTCTTATAAAAAATATTCTTATAAAAAATATTCTTATAAAAAAATTTCTTGAATATATTAATTAATTGTAAAAATGAAAATATTAATATCAAATTTAAATATAATTATAAAACAAAAATAAAAATATAATGTTTCAATTTACTATACTTTTGTTTTTATCATATTAGAACGAAGTTGTACCTGTAAATGCATCAAATATTTTATTTTTCAATAGAAGAAATAACCTCGAATTTTATGTCCTTTTTAATTAATTCTTCGATTAATGATGTTTTACCAAAAGCAGCACCAGAAGATAAAACTCCTCCACTAAAATTTTAATAATACAATTAAAGTTTTATGAAGAAAAAAATATTACATGTATGTTTAAATTAAATATAAAAACGTACTTTACAGGTATTTTATCTGATTCTTTGAGAATTGTTATAGCAGAAAGCAATAACATAGTGCATGTAGCACCATATGCAGGATTAGTTCCACTGACTTTGGTAATTAATACCTTGTTTGGTGGATCTTTATGCTTATCAGTAGGTTCAACTAATTTTTCAGTCCATCCTTCTGCCTTAAATGTAATGGAGAACTTAATTTTATCAAGTTCTTCTGGTTTAGCCATTTCATAGCCTATATATCCACCAGAGAAAAATGTAGGATACTAAACAAAATTTTATAAAATTGTATTTTTTGTTTAAAATATCAAAATAATATATGAAATATTTTATGTTAAAAAAAAATATAACATACCTTCAATAACAAATTACGACCAAATTCGTATTTAGATAACATTAAAAATATGAAACCAAAAATAATAGTTTTTAATACTGCAAAAAGAGAACTGGAAAAAAAAATTATTTAATATAGAATTTTAAATGTAATTCATATCATTCATTTTAATAAATTGATTACTTAAGTGTGAAATAAGTTTGAATTTGCGCTGGTCGTTGTTTATATTTTTCATATAAAAATCGTTGAGTACGCAAAGTTACAGAACGATCAGCTCCTGGAAATATCATAGACCATCCTTCTGATAGAGAAGATTTATGAATGAAACCCCTAAAATGATTAATAATATTAAAAATTATATTAAATATTAAATAAATATAATTAATAATATAATAATATAATATAATAATTAATAATTAAATAAAGTATAATTAACCTTGTTTTAAGTCTTGGCCATAATTCAGGTAACTTTTCAGGATAAAGTTTAGTGCGCAATTCGCGTAATTCATGAGAATGTGCTATACCATAAATAGCTGATTCATATGTTCCATAATTTAAGGGAGCACCATTGATTTTTGAGGTTGACCATAAATTTAAATAAGTTTCAATAGAATTGACTTCACCATCAAATTTTTGTTGCGTAAAAATTATACCAAGATCACATGGTATAGTATCAAATCCACATGAACTTATAATATAGATACCAGCTTCTTCTGCAGCTTTATTATATTTTAATTGAATATATTCTATATACTACAATAAAAATAAATAATATAAAAGTGCATAAATGAATATAAATTAAATTAATTTGAATATTAACATCAATAAGTTTGAAATAATTCAATAAATTACCTGGGGTTCTCCACTGACATCAACTTGATGAGTATGTGTGGCAATACATGCTTTAATAATAGGTTCTCCATACAATCTATATGGGCCACAACAATTAACAAGGACTTTTGCATGTGATGTCATTTTTTTCAGTGATTCTTCATCTTTCAAATCAGCAATAAATATAGGCACATCATCTGAAAAAAATTAATCATATAATTTTTAAATATATAATTTTATATAATAATAAAATTTTATATAAAATTTTATATAATAATTTTATATAATAATTATGATGAAAATTAAATGTTAAAATTGTAATTAATTAGAATTTAATTTTACCAATATTAGAAGCAAATTCTTTAACAATTGCTTCTAAAGCTTGCTTCCTGCGTCCAGACACTCCAAATTTCATTTGTTTTTCTACAGCTAATTGTACTGCTATTTTTACAGCATATTTTCCTGTAAATCCAGTAGCTCCAAATATTATAAAATCTAATCGTTGATCTGTCATGATTATATCTATAAAATAATAAAAAATATATAATTTTTTCTTTTTTATTATAAATAATTTTTTAAAGTTGTAAATTTTAAGTATTTGATTTTATAAAAATAAAATACAAAAATAAAATTTAAAAACAACGTAATATTTATGTAAATTTATTATAATAAATTTTAATAATGCACTAAATATTGATATATAGATCAAATATTAAATACTTTATATATAAAATTAAAAAAATTATAATAACTCTTAAAACCAAATTTATTTTTTTAAGTAAATATAATAAAATATTAATTAGAAAGGTATATCTTTTATAATGTGTTTCGAATATTGCTATAACTTAAATGTCATTTCGCCGATAGCCGACAGTTTGACATAATTATAATTTTCAAGAAGTTTCCATATTTTTATGCAATTAATAATTTTTAAATTTTGTTCATAGAATACATACCTTTTGAAAAATTGATGTTTTGATTTGATGAACGAGATGTTTATATGTTTATTCTTTTGCTAAATTTAATAAAATTGCACTCTTTCTTAATTGCGTCTTTCTATCGTATGTTAATACATGGAATCGAATTGCGTTTATATAGAATCCAAAGGGAGGGGATTTTATTACGTAATATGTTTCCTATAAATATTTTTATATTTTTTATACATAAAATATAAATTTTAACTATAAAAAATATTTTCTACAATTAGAAATATATTTTATTATAAGAATACTTATTTTATATAGTATTTGTATTGGATATGTTTAATTGAATGTATATACATAATATAATATACATGGATTATATTATGTATTAAGTATTATGCAAAACTAGAAGGAAGACTCAAAAACAATACGAATATGATTGGTTATATTCTAATATATTTTTTAATACAATATTAATCTCTTTTATATCTCTTCTAATAAAAATAAATATATATATTGATCGAAAGTTTCAAATTTAAAAATCAGAATACTTATTTTATATAATATATATATATATTATTTATATCCGATATTTAATATATATATATTTAAATTATATTATGTAATAAATATTATACAAAGCTAGAAGGAAGACTCAAAGACAAGAATATAAATACGATTGGTTATATTTCAATATATTCTATTATCCCAATATATTTTCTAATACAATATTAATTTCCTTTATCTCTTTTTTAATAAAAATAAATATATGTATTAGTCGAAAGTTTCAAATTTAGAAATTATATTATAACATATAATAATAAGCAAATTAGGCTACATTACAGTATACAATTTCGCGCGAAAAAATTTAATTTTAAGTCAGTATTTGCGTCAATTTGTGATGATTACAACTCAGTCTTATTTTTAAACGAAAGAAACGAATAATATTTTTATCCATAATGGAGATTTAACTTACCAATTATTATTTATAGTATATTCTATATTTTATATAAATTAATGAATATATTTTCATATATTTCTTTTTTTTGAAATTATTTTTTTTCTAATTGTACTATATAATTACTGGTGCATCTTATATATGTATATATATTTATTTAAATCGAATTTACATGTATAAAACCAGTACTTACATAATAATTTTTTACTCTATGTGTACTAGTATTTATAAGATTATGCGATATAATTTGAAAAATATTTGTAATTACAAAATATTATCATTGTATCATTGTAAATAAAATGAAGAATAAAATATTATTAAACAATTGTTGTTATATTTATATTTAAATACATATTTAAAGATTTTTATTTATACTAATAAATTCGTTAAAAAATAATTCTAGCAAATAGTTAAATGAATCAATTTTCAAAATTCGCATAAGCATGGCACTTAAGACGTACATATGTCAAAAACTTTCATTTATATTTTAAAAAATAATAAAATGTGTAATTGCCCTATTTCAATTATTGAATATTAAATTATTCTACTATATCATTTATTTCTCTTAATTTATATTTACAACATATCTCGTTTTATTACTCGCAGTCTGTATTCAGCTAGTAATAAATTATAAATAGCTCACTGTTTAGAATATCACTTTGCAATTAAAAATCTAAACTAGCAAATTTCTATCGTGGTATAATTTCAATGTACTTTGTTTTATATATATGTAAGACACGAAGTATCGTTAACGTGTGTACAATTCCCGCTTTGATCTGATCAAATACCATCACACGTATGTGTAACATATACTATTATTTACAGAAATGCACACTAAAATTGTAAATCTTTGCCATAAATTCATTTTATATGAATAAACTAATCTACAAAATAATTTGTTTATTTTATAGTTTAATAAAGGCATTATATCGTTTATGCAAATCATTTTAGACAAAAAAAAAAAAATTACACTATAAGAAAAAATTCATAGCATTTACGTGATTTTAGGATGAAAAAAATTAATGCATACATACAAAAGAGTTTAACATTCATATTTTATGAATATAAAATTTGTAAATATTTGTTACGGAAATAGAATATAATTTATATTGCCTGATGTATCCTAATGGATAAATAATGAAATACAAAGTTTTCGCAAAAACTTATAGTTTACCACAATTTAAGGTTTAATCAAGAAATACTTTAATATCTTTTCCGAGATATTAATCGTTGAATAATTAAAAACTCATATTCTTTTTTTTAATTACAATAATATAGTTATATTCAATCATTCTTAACTAAAGCAAAACTGAGGGAACTAGTAGTCTTTTGTTTATTCTTTCTACGAAAGCAGAATACTATCTCATTAATTCCAGAGTTAAATATACATCGAATATAACTATCGCCTTATACTAATATTTACAATATTTCACAGTGTTTTTGATAGGATATAAAACTATAGTACTTTAAAAGAATGAACGCAAAAATAGAATTCTTATCTACTTTTCAATTGTGAAAGTATAAATTCTATATAAGAGGAGAAAGTTAATATTTTTTTTCTCTTTTAAGAATGTAATCATCTGTTGGCAAATATCATATTTGTCGTTCTAATTTTACAATAAGCGCAGCTCGTTTATACTGCATATCATCACAAAAAGATGTTATTCTACATTTGATGTAAAATTTTTTTGAATTTTCAGTTAATAGAAAATTTATAATGTTGACTAATTTGTACAATTTTACAAACCTCATTGTATGAAATAAGATATCAATATTTTAATATCTATTGCAGTGCAATAAAATATTGACTAATGTAAAAAGATTAATTATTAAACTATAAATCAATCATGAAAGTTTGAAGATTTATGAAAACATAGTATAGTTTGAAGAAGTGAATAATTGTATACAAGCTAAACATCCATTAAACATACATGATCATATCGAAAATGCAAAATATGTTACATGCGATTTAGGAAGGCATACATTTTAAATTATGATTTTTAGCACTGTACGTAATAATATACACTACAAACACATTAATTTGATTTTAGTTCGTTATCAAATCTTATCATAATTGCACTGTAATAAAACAGAATAGTAAACGTAATTTCTTACGTATGAGAAACATTAATGAATAGAAACTTAAAAATTCAGCATCGCTATTTTTGGTGAAATCCGACATATATAAAAAAATTATTAATTATACACTAAGAATATGAATTAATTCATTATTTTTGCACAACCTCTCCTTAAAAAGACCATTCAATCATGGTATAATTCTTTGTCGTACAGTATTATCCGCTTAAGTATTGCAAATTCGGGTTCATGTTGCGACACTCCAGAGAGGTAGACATTTTTAAAAATTGCTTTCATTGCTTCGTTCTCTTATCGAGTACATCGAAGGCGAGAAACAACAAGAATGAAATACATTTTTTTTTGTCGCCGTTTTAAACCCGAAAAAGCTAATAATCTCATTAAAGAAGTTCTAGGAATTAATGAAGATAATTTTGTAATATTCAAGCGAGGAAAAAATGCGACACTTAAGCGCACAATACTGTATTAAGTAAGCATCGGAGTAAATTTATACATAGGTACAAGTCACGAGTGGTACTACTAAATCACAGAATAAACTGTGTAAAGAATTTCGCATATAGCCATGTTTAAGGGAGCATAATGTAATGCTCAGTCAGGTAAAATACAAGGCTCTATCGAAATTACAGCCGCTCAACAACACATTCAAGAACGGTAACAAGGAAGGAGCACTAGGAGTTAGCATTTGGTGGAGGTGGTCTTCTATCATAATCTCGTCTGTAATCTTTGTTTGGTCGCCAATCACTAGGATAACTATCTCCAGGATAACCTCGACTTCTAAAATGGCTTGGTGGAATATCAGATGGAGCATAACCGCCGCCTCCACCTCCATATCCTCCTGGACCATATCCATAACTGGGTGGTCCTGATGGATATCTGTAATAATCACTGAACACAGATTTTGAATTTTTTGAACACTGATATTTGATGAACTTTATTTTCATACGGAATATTATTTATAGCCTACCTTCGTTTGTCATTCATGTGCATACTCCGATCGCGATCTCGATCTCTGTCCCGATGATATCCACTAGACATTCGTCCATAAGAATCGAAACGATCACGTTTATGGTCTCCAAATCTATACATAAATCATTTTAAATTAGATACTTTATTATAATAATTATTCTATATCTTTCTTTATTATTTTATTATTATACCTTCCATCTCGTATATCTCTTCCATCACGAGATAACCAATGATCATCATCTCTGCTTCCACTATAATGTCCGCTCATATAACCACCACTATCTCTTCTGATTCTTTCATCTTTACCTCCACTCATTCTATCCATATTTCTATCACTATGTGTTCTATCTCTATCTCTATCACGTTCTCTATCTCTTTTCATGTCTTTATGTTTTGATTCTTTTTCTTTATGTCGTGGTGTATCTACACTATTAGTAGTACTTGAAGTAGAATTTGGAGTCGATGTAATAGGGGTAATAGTAATAGCACCAATAGTAACTGTAGACGTATTGCTGATACTATTTACAGCAGATATACTTGAGAGGTGTTTTTTACTTGGTGTATTACTACTATTCGAATTTTCTTCTATATCTTCGATTCTACGTTTTTGCAATCTACTTTCTTTAATAGTTTCTATTTGTTTATCGATATGTTTTTCCGAGTGCTTCTATAAAATTAAATTAGTTTTATGAATAAAATTAAAATTAGTTATATGAATAATAATGTATATATTATTAAAATAAGAATAAAATATCATACTTTTACATTATTTGAGTCCTCTTTCTTTTCTGGACTAGAAGTAGCACTAGTGTTACTTTCACCTCCTTTTTTTGTCGCGTGTTTATACAATTTGTAAAGTTTTTTTGCATCAAATTCTGTAAATTTAGACACAAAATACCATAAATTGCTTCTCCATTCCTTAATTTGTTCAGGATCTCTATATTCTTCTAAACAAGTGTTAATTTGATTTCCAATTTGTACAAGACATTGTCTTGTGTGTGCGACTTGTTCCGCTTCACTTAAAGATTGATCAGGTCTATCTAAAGCTTTGAGTGCTTTCTTTACTGGTCTCATCTTTTCTTTACACTATATAATTAAAAAATAAATTAGATTATTATTCATATTTGATGCATATAAATGATGCTTTAATATAAATGATATTAAAGC